CAGTGTGTTCACGCTGGTTCCCACCTACTTCTGTCCGGTCACTGAAAGATGATTCCTGATGTGACACAGGTGGAGCTGGATAATCTCCAATCAATGGAGGGGCACTTGGGGTGACAACTGTAGCCATGCCTGTGTCTGCAGGTGTCTCGGTTTTATTCTGTTGCTGTAAAATTCTTTGAGCCTCCTGCTCTCTTCTTGTTCTTTCTTCTGCTTGTGCCTTCTCAAGCTCTCTCCTTTTTGCTTCTTCCTCCTCTTTCTACAATAAGTATAGCAAATCAATGACTTGAAGTTAAAGCTCCAGTGCAGAGTTGTAACAAGAGTGTTGTTTGCAAGAGAGCTTTGACTGTATATTGTAACAAAAACGTTGATTGTGTGACTCCAGGCTAATACTGTGGAGCAACTTTTATGATGCAAACCAACACTGACAAGTTTTAGAACTATAATGCCAAATATTTAGGAAAAGTCAATATAACACCTGGAACATAAATCAATCATATATGTACATGTATTTATAAATGCATAATTAATCAATCATAAACTTTTTTCATTTTTTGATCGATATAGGTATAAATACATCTTTGCAATAAAGTTACTTTTGGTTATGGATCTTACCTTTTTGGTCTGCTCAGCTAAGAACTGGTTGTATTCCTGCTGATATCGTTCCTTTAAAACTCCTTTTAGTTCCTCTGCCAAGTTGAACGCCTTTCTGAGGCTCTACAAAACACACACAAAAAAATACGTAATTATCAAGAGTTTCTGAGGTCTGTGATGATTTTCTCATGACCAAGGGGCCACAGCCTCAAAAATTTTAAGGCATATTCACAACAGAAAGAGTTAAAAAGAAGAAGAGGAGAGCACCTGGCCATTACCTCTTTTCAGGGGAATTCAAATGCTTTCAAGACTGGCTTGGAAAGACTTAAGAGTAAGATACCAGGGGATCTCCTGTTTTTGTCATAAACTTTACCTGCAGTAAATAATTAGCTCAGAAATATCCTATGCCAGCTACCCCTGAGGATCTAAAAAAAACATTTTCCCCCTGCTCCCTTAACCTCAATTGTATGTTTTTTAATACAACTAAAATCACCAACATGTACTATTAACACTGAAAAACAACTGACCTTCTTGTTGTTTGCTTTATCAATTGGTGGTGCTTTAGCATACTCTGGATGTAATGGAAGCTTCTCCACAAACAACCTGCAAACCACACATAATTTAACATACCTCAATTTTCAGAGGACACATGCAATATTTCATAGGCAGCTCAGGTACAGCTGAAAGCTTTGTAACAGTGGAGCCTTTATATAATGAGTTGTCAAGAGACTGGAAAAATATGTTTGCTATGAAAAAGTTTGGCAATATCCAGGTTATTACCATATACCGTAGAACCTCTATTCAGGGGACACCCTCCGGACCAGGGAAAGTGTTCCCTGAATGGAGGTTGGACTGGGGTTTGTTAATAGTCAACTTACGTATAAAATGTATTTTTCTTTTATCCGGCCTCCAAATCTGCTGTGGTCAATATTTCAAACAGTTAAATAATGCATGATCAACTTTTCTCTGCAAAATTCTGTGTTAAAATCCCACAAGTGTGGTACATCGATTAATAGTTCATGTTGTGAAAGTTGTCGTCATTGTGACTAGCATTCACTTTAACTTATCCACGCTTTTTGTGGTCAGTCACTTTTCGAGTGCTAAGGTGTCTCCTGAAAGGAGGTTAAATCCAGATTTCAGGACCCAGAAAGAGTGTCCCTTTATTTTAAGACCACGGTAACAACACGGTACCGGAAACGATTGTTACCATGAAATCCTAGGACTTGTGATGGAAAAGGAGAGCAAATGAACTCATGTTTAATGAGTGACTGAGCATCTCTACCAGCTGGTGGCACATTGGAGCTCGACCGGGCACCCTATAAACACTATGAACTACAACATCATGATTGTTATCAACTATAATGGAGCTACACTGTAGAAGCTCTTTTTAAGCCAGGTATGATCATACTTTCAATAATTTAACTACACTATACTCACGTTATAAACTTGGAATATAAAATGAACGCCCTCTCCAAATCTCCTTCATCATGGTAAATCCTTGCCTACATTCCAAGAGTTGAACAGAAAAAAGGTGAGCTAGCTAGCTAGTGCATGAGGCCCTGTTATGGTTAACTTCTAACAAGCCACATGGCCTTGAAACGGTGACATTTTTAAGACAGCTGGAGTGGCAACAAATGACTCATAGATACTTTGAAACTGCGACATGGACAAGGCTTTCTCATCAAATATGTGTAACTAAAGGTTTTTGAAACTCAGACTTGTAAAGGACATTGTGCAACCCCTTAAAAGGGTCTAATATATATCACAGGGGTCTATGATCAGTGAGGTAATGCCAGTTGGAAGGAGCCGGCTTAGCTTTCATGAAACTGTTGAGGAACTGCATATACTGTATGCCAACTCAGGTGGGGCTGCAAGCCCAAAAATATTTGTACAACATCTGGTCGTACATCAAAGAATTTGTCCAGAACATATCGTTGCACAGTTGAAGGTGTCAAGGACTCACAGGTTCCCAAGCCACGTGTCAGTAAAAAATAAGTAAATCAATATTTACTGTACTTTATTTTTATGGACAGTGGTCATTTAGCATAGCTTTCTCAAAAACTAATAGTAAATTAAGTAAAGCAAAAACATCAAGGTCACAACCCAGCTTATTTCTGGTTCACATAACTGCTCTCTACTCTCGGCTATTGTCTTCATAAGAAACAAATGACTCTATAGGGGTAACACAATTACAGCTGTTAAACCAATAGTTTTCATTGTGGTTTACAAGGTTAAGAATCACAACTGGCTGCAGGCAAATCAGTCACCTGTTTACAAGCGTGACCAAAGAGTTGAATTCAGGACTTCTAAAAACAAAGCCAGCTGGTGGTTGGAGAGTGGATTGAACTAGGGGTCTCCATCCTAGTTACAATTCCAGCACTCTAACTGCTCGGCTAGGCTAGCTCTGCCCAAAAGCCACTAGTGGAAAAAATCTTGTGGATCGTGGTCAGGAAGTTAGGTAGGGGAGGGGGGAGGTTGAAAAATTTATGTCTTGTCATTTCGTCTTCAGCCAGTTCAAACAGCTTGTTTTCACACCACTATACCTTATTTATTGAGAATAATCAAGCAGCTGGGTGCAAAGAAAGTCAGTTTTACAGCCTGCCATTCGGACAAGCTGTAGCTAGCATGCGCTAGCCCACAAGTCATTTCAACTAGCCCCAAAATCCTTTTGTAGTGAGAGGATTGATTTCAATCCTTCTGTAATTTGAATTTCCCAAAAAAACAGTACTTGCCCATTGGGCAAGTTAAGAACAAAAATCACTAGCCCAATAGCAAAGTCCACTAGCCCCAGGCTATTGGACACACCTTTCTTTGCATGCTGTCAAGTTCCAAAATTTGCAGCATAACATAACACAACAACATAACAACTTTATTTAAGTGTTGATGTCTTTAGCTTATAAAAGCTAATTGAGGACACTAAAAAAATAATAAAAAATTATAAAATGAGTTTATACATGGTATCATAAGGTGAATTTATAATTCTCTAAAGACTTATAAAGGTTCCTGGTGGACTTAAACACTCTAAGAGAATTACAGAGCTCTGTACAGTGTACGCGTACAAAAATAAACTTGCTGAATGGTAGATCGGAAAATGCCATGAAATGGGTTTAGTGAAACGATCCCTGGCTACGAAATCCCAAACTTTGAGTGACTTTTACGGATGTGCATATAACAAAAAACACTGTTGTGTATTATCCTTTATGAAAAAAAATTACTTCAGTTCCTATTTTTAGAATTGACAGTACTGGTATATTTCGAGTAATGAACTTGTAAAAAAAGCTGATGCACGCTGTTTGCAAATAAGAGTTAAAACGAATAAGCCAAAAAACTGAAATAATTACTAACTACAATGAACTTACAGTTCTTCATATCATAAAATTCAAAAAGGAAAGCATGATTTTAAAAGTTTACGGTTGATTTATATCGATGCCAGCTTGCGAAATTTGGCGGCAGCTCGTTGTAAGCTTGTTATGTGAATAATATGAATAAGAGAATAAAGACTCACCATTTTCTCCATTTCGATACCCGACCTAAAGTATTTCTTGGGCGCTATACTGTTATCAACGTGTACTTGTCCTGCAAACTGCACTAGTTTCCTCACTCTTTCACCTGGATCTTGATCGTCCGCCATCTTTTCAATCGATGTTTTTTTTTGCGTTTAACACCTCAAGTAAGATGCCCCGAGTATCCTCCAAAGTTTAGGAAATTTCCACAGGCCTCCCAGGGAGTTCCTTGAAATTAGATCTGATTGGTAGACGAAACTCATGAGGTCGTCTTGTGGTTGTAGCCTGAATAACAGGCGTTATTTTTTTGGCGCGTTTTTCAGGCAAGCGAAGGCAAACGTGAAGCGAACGAGGAACACAGGACTGTTTCTCACACTCCTTTTCCTACTACACTCCGCATTCTCGTGGCCCACATTCTCCACCTTATTACATCCACTTTGAAATCACTGGCTATCCGTACAATCTGATTGGCTCTCAGCAGTGTGATTTATTCCTAAATCGCACCATTTTTTGCGCTAAATCGCATCTGTTCCAAATCGCGTCATTCATGTTCTAAATCGCATCATTTCTGTTTTAAATCGCACCATTTTTGTTCTATATATTGCATCATTTCTGTTTCGAATACAAAATGAGATGTAAAAGCCTTTTTGTTTCGGCTTTTTAACAAACCGGCTACTCGATCAATAAAATATTAGTACTGACTAAATTCTGCGATTTCAAAATGGATGTAATAAAGTGGTAATTGAACTTCGTGTCGTGCAATTTTGGTCTGAAATCATACTTGTGATTTCAAATCAAACTCGCGCTGCGCGCTCGTTCGATTTTGAAATCACGCGTATGATTTCAGGCCAAATTGCACTCCACTTAGTTCAATTACCATTATTAACCGGCAGCCGCATTTTTTACCGCACGGGAAAAGCAGCAAATAAGTAGTGATACTGGCAATTTTTGGGGTTATTAAGTTCGACGAGCTTGAAAAAATGAGGGAATCTTATGATCTTCAAAAGCACAAAAGGGGAAGGCGGAGCGCCTAAACTAATCACTCTCCTGGATATTTTGGTTTTTGTCCTAAGACACAATCGGTGGTATTTGTGTGAGGTCATTATGGGCTATGAATTTTTAAAAGGGTTCAAGATTTCCAAAATAGTACCATCTCATTGTTTTCAAGCTTGGAACAATTGGTTTTCGCTCTGCGTGCCGGTAATCACCCCCTACGTACTTAATACGATATGAGACGCGTGCCAAAATATACTATCAGTATGCAAGTTTTCTCGCTAAATGTCTCTGCGATTTTTCATAAGAAAGCATAGTCTTGGAAATCGCTAAATTAATTTCAAGAAGGATGAGTATCACCGATAAAAAAGTAGAATAAAGGGATAGAAATTGCATTGTTTTGTGGGCGTAGGCTTATTTTTGTCCTACTCCATTGTGGGACTCATTTCCAGTCCTCCTGAGGGTTATCTACATGGCACCTGTAAAAAATCAGCGACTCCTTCCAGTGTTGCAGAGGTCGTTTCAGTTCCCTTTTAGCCAAGCGAAAAGAGCGTACGAAATGCACAAGGCCATGGGATAAAAAAGCGAAAAAAGGAGGCGAAAAAGACTGCTACAGAGCCTAGGCGACTCAAGACGCGTATTCCTTCCCCCATCGCTGTTGCAACTTTACATTTTATATAACGGACTGGAAAGGCACTAAATCTCCGCAACGTCTCCATTGTTTCAGTCTGCGTATTTTTTTAAAAAAATTCGAAATCTCCCACCCCTTACCTCTGAACTGAAAGCAACATGGCTGCAAATTTTCCCCTCCGTAGGGATCACCATTTTTTACCCATATCATTTTGTCTTTTACTCTTTTTTTTGGTGAATCTATTTCGATTTTTCTTTCTCAATGTCTTGTTCCCCTTTTCCTTTTTTTTTTCTTTCTAGTTTTGTTGCTCAATTTTTTTGGCGTTCTGTAGCTTGAAATTTTGGCTGGCCAGCTTTCCACAAAAGGGACAAATTCAATCTGCAAGGAGTGTTAGTCGTAGTAAGTAAATAGTAAAATTGGCAGTGGGTTTTTTCCAAAACGTTTGCTTGAGTTTTTGTTTGTAACTCTGTCAGGATTGGTCAGAATGTTCAAAGTGAGATACCTGCCAATCTATCCTCGCTTAATTTGCTTTTTATCAACTTTAACTGAAAGCTAAATAGGTCCAGGGTGGAAAATATGCATCGTTACATACAGAACGAGAACCACCAAAGCGTCATCTAAGGGTTTAAAGTCAAGTTAATACACCCACAAGAACCTCGCTGCAAAACCTTAAATCACTCTTCATTCCAACAAAACTATCTTGCGTCACTTCACATCAACTTCTAGGATAAAAAGGTCCGGTATAACTCCACCGCTTCAAACATCACGCATCTCAAGCTTTAAAAACAAATAACTCTAATTCTCTACTCACAAATCTCTTAAACGCATAAAACAACTTCACCTGCCCGTGATACAATGAAAACCAAGTATACGCTCCCACAGCGTCTTGTAGTTAGACCATTACCTATTCCCTGTGCAGCCTCCTCCCCGGCCTTCTTGTCAATTCATTTCGGGGACGTATCCGAGACGAACGGCCGGATACTCAAAAAATTGCTCGGACAGTGTGACCCAAAACGCATAGACCGCGCGGAATAATTAGGCCTAAGCACTGGGACTGGTTTGGAGCGTGACCAAGCAAAAAAGTCTTCGCTTCCCTACCCACTTAGTCTACGGATACGATGAACAGCGCTTAAGAAGTGAACTTGCTTTCTTTTTTTTTCGATATTTCCACCGACTTTCTGTGTCAACTGTAGGCGAACCCTCCTGGAGTCGATTCCTAGGGATAATATCCAAGTAGAGAAAGAAAAATAAAATTTCGTCCTCGCTTGTTTACGTCCTGAATAAAGCGTAAGATTTGGGAACTTCACGTCCTAGTTATGCAAAAACGGCAAAAAATAGCACATGAACTTATCTTAATGAGATTCCACCCTTTTATTTATGACGTAAAGACAAAAGGCTATAACGAAATCGGCATCAATGTATTCCTAGGGAAAGTAATGGGACTCTTCACAAAAAAGGTTAATTTCATACCTTCTATACTACCGATGTCACCACTTGCCTACTCGAAAGAAGAAGAGGTCTACAAAGACGTAAAAAAGAATCAGGCAAATGTCCAGTTATCTTGCGGACCGTATAAGCTTAGACTATACGGGATTTTTTTTTGACCGAAAAGAGAATTTTTTTCTTGCGTGGCAAACGAAAGAAATCCTGAAAGGGTCTTACTCAAGTCACTGGCCCGCTAGCAGATTCAGCGATATAATAATGCTTTTTCCAAGTTCAAATTCTGTCTGACACAGACGAAAAACCATCTGTAATTTAAACTCCTTTAATCATCTTTAATTTCAACTAAAAAAATCAGGTCGTAAGGTTAGAACGAGAGACCTGCTAGAGGACATTGATTCAAAAGCAAAATTTAAAAAGCTGGACTCCAAATATGGCTAAATTAGAGAATACACGGCTCTCATTCGCATGTCATTTAATGACAAAAGGGCTTATAATATACCAATACTTCACTCTTTACAACGCACTGACACAAAAAGAGGCGGTGGTGTGTCACCATAGTAGTTAGCTAAAAATTAGTTTCAAATACAATTAAAATCGTCTCATAAACCAAAGAGATCGCCCACTTCGTTGGCCTCTCTTTTACTCGTACACGGTTGGTGTCACGTGACGGATTCATCATATCGTGCTTCTTCTTTGTAATTTGCTGGCGTTCACAACCAGTACCCAATACTAACTATGGTTCCACAGCAGCCAAATTTCAAAATAATCGTATTTCGAACATTATAATGCCTAGGCTCTTAACCAATCAATTCAGAATTTGCATTACAAAGCAATGATAGGTGTCAATAGTCCACAATACAAAAATTCTGATTTAGTCTGAACAACAACCAATCAACAAAATTGAATAGTCCAGTTTCGAATCAAAAATTACCGCTGAGTACAAACATTAACGACACATTCATACAGGGTTAGCCTCGATGTAAAGTAGAATATTCAGCAATAGGACAATTGCACGATGACGTCATTTTACTACAACTACCAGAATCCTTGAGTTTGTTGTTTTCTTGTGCAAATTAAGGCTATTGTTCTTTAATCCCCAGCGGGATTGACAAATTTAAATAACAAAGCAAAACCGAATTGAATTCTGGTAGTTGTAGTCAAATGTCGTCATCGTGCAATTGTCCTATTCTGGCAAGTAAGTGTTTGAAATTTGAATATATACAATAGACAGAGTAATAAACAGGTCTTTTTCTAGTTGGAATTTGTGAATATATTACTTCAGATGGAGGCTAAGCCTGTAAAAAATGCGTCTTCACTTCTTTGATTCAGAGGTCATAGCGAACTCGAAAACGAACGCATCCCCATCTCTGTTTATACACTTGCTGTGTCTTCGCAATCGCTTGCATCCTCCAAAAAGTCCCATTCAAGAGCCTGAAAGGAAATGATTGCTGTTTTAAACGATTTAAGCTCTATTATCGGCACAAAATGTCGGGTTGCAATGTCATTACATGATCAAACACAAGTATTAAAAGCTCATGATGATAAGAAAAAAGATCTCCGAGGACCTTAGTTTAGCTTTTATATTTCTCAGTTAGTACGTCCCCTGTGATTGGCCAGTTTTGCTGGTCCTATTCTACTATGCGGGCCGCTAAACTTTAAGGACGTTCCAAGCGCCCAATAGGTAATTTCCGAGTTGCTTCCAACCTCTCTTTCAAAGTGAGGCTAAGTGCGCAGCCATTGACATGAAAACAACTTTTCATTCTCATGCAAATGAAACTCATTATAGCAAGAAAGAAAGGTTTTCTACTTAGCCTCGCTTTGAAAGTGAGGGTTTCCGGGACTCAGAAACGGCCTATTAACCTGGATCTTGAAGGAAAAAAAACTACGAATTTTTAAGAAAATGCTTTTTTCGTGAGAAGGACTCTCAAACGCTGACAAACGTCAACAAATACCGAAAACTATAATTTCTATATGTTTGCTTTGCTCGAAATCGCGCGCATTTACAAGGCCCTAAAGCGTTTTGCTGACTTGCAAGGACCCATCTGTTATAACGATGCCCAAAATAAAGGGATGAATCTCTTGGTTTATTAGATATAATCCGTGTAAAGTTTGCTTATCATTTTCGCATAAATTATGACCTAAATTTGGAAACCGCTGAATTTCTCGAATTGGGTCTTTGCGATTTTGGTGAAACTCTGTTCAGCGCAAGGCACTAATGCGCACTATGTGTAGCCGAGAGATTTTCACAAAAAAATGCCGGCAACAGCCGATTTTCGACTCAGACCTCAAAGGGGCGTGGCATTATAACCACGTGACATTTACTCCGATCGCCAAAAATTTTATGTTATATTGCAGATTGATCTATATGTTATCCATTCTATGTGTTAGACTTACGATAAAAGTAAAGGTGGGGATACCAGAGAGCTTCAAAGTAGGATGGTACCCTCCCAAAAAAACTGGGTCGAGTCACCTTAAAGTAAGGAACTCGAACACGGTTACTATCTGAAGAGTTACTTATGCAGCCTTTTTTACGAAGAGTACAGTACCTCAAGGTCATTCATTTGATCGATTTTAAGTTTGTTTAATTCTTCGGCAAACCTACAAGTCATAAAAAAGGTAATTAGTAATATGACAGTAAATAATATCTGTAGCGTGCGAGCAAGGTCTCCACTTCGAGTGGTGTAACTTCGAGCGTATTTTGTCCCGATATCCCCCGAATGGAGAGCTTGCGAGTAGGCTATGATATTTGGTGCCTGGTGATCTTTAAGTAACTGGGGGGCCTGCTAATACAGTCTTAAAGATAAGAGAGGGGCCGGCCTTGAAACTTATTTTTCTCAGCTCTGTAGGCCTCAGTTTGGCCGGAAGTAAGGTGCGGGCACTGAACCCCTGGCTCATCCACCACTGCTGAAGCGTTACGTCGTGACAGAGCCTAAATAAAGCACGACGGGTAACTGGCCATGATTCAAGGAACTGTAATGTAACGCCCTTTTCTCAACAGAGGCCTCTTTCGCGCCATTATACTCGCGCCGAAACAGGGAGAGGAGACGAAGTTGACGCGAAGCGGGGAAAGAGGGAGGAGGGCGTTTATGGAGACAGAGGGCGCGATCTAATCGAGAAAAACGTCAGGGAATTTGAAAGCAAGAATGAATAGGAAACTTTCCACCAAACGTGAAATGAATTTCTGAAATGTGAACAGTTACAACGAAAATTCTGGGAACAACATCAAATGAGACGTACATTCGGTTTACCTTGCGAATGGATTGCGCCCATAGTCTTTTGTCTCGCAAACTACATGTACATTAAGGACTGAAAGCGCGCTTTATTTTGATTCCTTAAACTATTTGCTCACGTAACGTTTTTTGCATTTGATGTACTCTTAGTCACAAAATGCGTAACTTTTGCCTTACTTTTCAAAATTTTTGCAACTTTCCTCCATGAGAACAATAGAATCTGGACTGCAACTGGAAAAAAGAATAAGTCTTCAGTAACTGGCTACTTTACTTAATTTTACTCTAGATAACTGAGAACCTCTCTATGGGTACCCACCGACATCGTTTTTGTCGCTCGTTTTTCGCCACAAATCGTCAGTTTCTCAACAAAATCGTCGCATATTAAGAATTGTGTTGCGTGGTAACGCTACTAGCAAGCTCGAGCGACCAGGACCACGACAGAAACGAGAAAGTAAAAAAAGTAAAGAGCTTTAATTAGTAAAAGAAAAACTGTCAACGGACAGCGCACTCTATGGCATATTTCTTTGCCTTCATCGTATGACTAACGTCAAACTTGTTCGCGATCGTCGCAACTTTCATTTCCTGGGAAATACCCAAAGACACTCTCAACAGAAGAAGCTTAAACTAATGTAAAATACTTAGCACGACGCTGACAAGGGGTGGCTTCTTTGACAGCAACTATAACCCCAGAGCAGAAAGGGTAGTCTGGTACTGTTTATTATTTTTCAAAAAGTTAATTTAGTGCACACTATACTACTAACTAGGGTCATGTAGCAGTTGCTCGGAAGAGAAGTCATCAATGGTGCCTAACCCTGACCCTAAACAATACTGAAACAATTGAAAGAACGACATGTCATTGTTTTCTGCGACCAATCAGGAGAGACCTTACGAGAAGCTCCTACACAACTGACTAACTACCAATAGGTACATTTGGAAGTAATTAAAATTCATACTTGATAGTTTCTTGATGTTGCGGAAGGATGCGATTACCAAATGACAAAGGACTGAAAAGACTCTGACAATATCCACACCACATAACAAAAGCAAAGCAACAACAGTTTCCGCAACACCCACAAACATCCAACAAAGAAATAGCATTGACATCTAGGGATATATAATTCATCTCTTTTGTTTTATTTTCCTCACCCTCGGAATCAATTATGAATTTTGATAATTAGAAACTGTTGGCCTAATAGATTTGGGATTTTTGTGACACTTGTGACTGTTACATTGGGCAGCAAGGTGGTGCAGCGGTGAATATCACTCGCCTCCCACCAATGCGGCCCGGATTCAAATCCCGGCATCAACGCCATAAATGGGTTGAGTTTGTTGTTGGTTCTCTAGTGTTTCTTCGGGTATTACCGGTTTTCCCCTCCCTAAAAAACCAGCACTTCCAAATTCCAATTCGATCAGGACACGTTTAAACGAGTTGTTAAGAACTCCTATGTGGGTAAACAAATTACAATTACAATTACATACCAAGAGGACGTGAGCGAGGAAAGGGAAGAGTATGATCCACTCGATGTACGACGCCTATCGTGTCGCCTTTGTTTCTAGCACGAAGAAAGAGAGAAACAAGAGAAGGAATCAGACCTATGAACAGTCTACTAACATAAATATTGTGCACATATACTGTAATCTGCAACTCCATGACGTCAGAGAAGTTATTTAGCGATAGAGCTATTTTCGTATGACCTTAAAGAATGGTTTCGGTAAGTGTTCGTTATTTGTTTTATCAGCCAATTACTGAAAAGATCAAAACATGGTCTCTTCGTTTTCCCACCAAAGAAAACCCATATATGGAGAACGCATTGTTCGATTGGCCAATCGTGTTACAGTATCACCTCAAAGCGAAGTATCGATTGATTTTTAGAAAGTTCTTCGGGATGAATTTTTTTTCAGCCAAGCTTTCGCTTAATCAGCCGAAAGCTAAGCCGCGCACGTTTTGTATCCGTTCGACAAACAAGTCAAATCGCTTTATTTCCGTTCGTTTGTTCTTTCTGTATTGTTCGCGCGTTTTCATTTCAAGGTCATACGAAAACGCTCTATCGCAAAGACCAGTATGCTACTTGCCGAGTATGTTCTTCACAACCAACATTAATTATCAAGTGCGCCTTTTTTCGCCACTTTAGAAACGGGAAGGAAGCTGGACTGTGTTAACTTTGAAAAAGACCTTTGGGATCGTTATTGGGGACGTGCCGGTCAGCTATTGGCCAGTTTTTTTCCTGTCCCCAGTAACAGTCCCAGAATTCTTTGCGAAAGGTAACTCGTCCCAGTTCCCTTTTCCTTTCTAACGTGTTCCCTGCATGGTGTGAAAGGGGCGCGTTACAAAACCTAAAAGGGAAGAACCTGTGGCCGAAAACAAACAACCTACAGGCTCACTCAATGAATAATGAATGAAGGATCACACAAATACAAAATACGATCATAGCAAACCAACAACCTTTGATTGAACAAGTTTCCAAAGGTCAACTTGTCTTTGTCTTTGCATCTGGAAGGAAAACAGAAGCAGTCATTTTTCATGTTTCTCTCAGCCCAGCTACTTTTAACATAAATAGTTTTCTTTTTCCATAGGAGAAATGATCGGAAATGTTCTTTACTGGCCTAGTCTCTGCACGGCCTTTCTCCAGGCCTTCTCGGTCAATGCCTTTCAGTGACAGATCCGAGACAACCTCGCAAACACAAACTTGCTCGGACCACGTAACCCGAAATGCATCAGCCTTGCGAAATAGTCAGGCCAAGGGACGAGATGAGTTTCAAACTTGGTCGGTAATTGAGCGAGAGCAAGAGTCCCTGATAATAAGTACCATCTAGGAATAAAAACAAACCTCAGCAAGATCTTCCGATTGTTCCACAAGTTTAGATTTAGTTTCTTGAAGACGTGTCATGAGACCGCGGATTTCCTTCTTGCAGGAAATAACTTTGCTAAAAGTAAGTAACAGAAAATAAAGAACCATAAGTTAGTAAGGTCTTTACCTGGTCAAGTGCTGCATTGCTTTCACGGCAAAAAAGTCGCTGTCATTGCAAATTTCGGATCGCTAAGTCGATTAAAGGCTACGAGTTTACAACGTTTCATCGCTAGGTGGGGACTGCAAACGAGTCTGCCTTATTACAAGATTGACTTCGAGTGAAGTGAGCGCACAGAAATGCGTCATAATCATAACGGTTATAAAACTACAAGAATCCATCTTTTACCTCATTTTCATAGGTGTATATCAATTGGGGCTATTTTCTAAGAGTTTGCTGCTACGACGAAGAAAAAGCAACTTATGTTTAGGTGTGGTTTTATTAGGCAAGATTAGGTGGTGTTGTACCTCAAATGAGCAAAAATATCCTTGTGAAGCTTTTCTCTCTGGGCAAGAAATGGTAATATAACTGCAACCATTTTTTGAGAATCCGAAGGTCGCCTGTCACCTGTAAAATGATGTTGTTAAAAGATAATCGAGATAATTTAGGCGAGAAGGTACTTTAACCCAAGAAGACCATTTTGAATACTGTTTTCTTTCTTCCCTGTTAAATACCTTAGCCTTTTCCTATACATCAAGGAGAATATACAGAGATAAATATATCTACCATTCTTTATCTCTTTTTACTGCGCTTTAGAGGAACTAGTAATTATAATCAGAACACTTTTCCACATATGATCGCAAGTTTCAATACCCAAGTGTTTCTGTATTTAAAAGGAAATAGAAAGCCATCCGGTAACCCACACGGTATCATAGCAATGGGCTTAAGAAGATAGAAAAGGTCTCAAATACCTTTCTCATCTCAAGCTTGATCAGAGATAACTCGTGAATTCCCATTATAGTAGATTCTTTTATTTGATTGGATTAATTGAATTCACCACAGTGAATCAATTCAAGACTGTGTCCCAAAGTGACAGTTACCCCTTAATTACCCACCCAACCCGAGATGGGTTGACGACACCACCAGGGTCTGCGCCCTCTACACGGTTTGAACAACAGTCAACTTTTGAGAGGTGGAGGCTGACCTAACGTACGTTTGGTTTCGCAAAACCTCTCAATGATTATAATCGATCATTGATCGACAACAGCCGCCCGGTTAGCTCAGTTGTATAACCGCCGGTCTGCTGGGTGGGAGGTCGCAGGGTTCAGAACCCGGGGCCTTTAAATAACTGAGCTTGTGAAGACATCTGCAAACGGTTAGACTTTCTAGTCTTTTCGGATAAGAACGATAAACTCTAAGCCCCGTCTCAAAACTCTTGCACATATAAACTCTCTGGGAAGCTTAAGAATTCACACACTGTTCGTAAAAAGTAGGGGAAGTAGGCCCCGGTGTGGTGGTCTATCTCTAATGGGGGGAGGGGCTGTTGCGGGCTCGCAGTTTACAATATTGGCGTCAGGCACTGTTGCAGTAACCCTGCCAAAATTGGCGAACCTCAGTAAAAAAAAATTAAGAAACCTTAACCGACGCGATAATCGATCATAGAAGACCTCTAGTCGATTATAACGGAAATATACGGAGATTTACAGTTGACAAATAGAAATATTAAGACTTTGGTGTTCGCTCTTTTTTATGACATGGACTCAATATGCAGCTACTGTACTCACGAGGATAGTATCACCCGTTCTCATGTTATTGTTGGGAATGGACTGAGATTTTATGTAGTCAATCTTCTTGGCCCAACTGATGGATCTTAATGGATCTTAATGGATTTTAATTATTTAAAAATAATTCCGTTTATTTTTAAACTGCCTGCAAATTACGGTAACAAACGTAGGCTAAGTTTTCTAATAATATGCGTAATCAAATGTTATCGGAACAACAACCCTTACAACCCAATAGAGGGAATGAAGCACAGCCCTTGCGTCGTGTTTTAGAACAAGACAAAGATGTTTGAAATGTGTCTAAAAAGGGTTACTAATGTATTCTACTGGAGGGCAGGTTAAGAAAGGCTTTTTAGTAGTATAGTAGGGATCGGTTACTCCGTTTTTTGAAGATGAATCTCCTTACTTTGTCGCGGAATACTTTAATACCATTGACGTCATAGCCTTTTGTCTTTCTCTCTTGAATAAAATGTAGAGGAATCTCGAAGAATCTCATTGAGATACGGTCATGTGCTTTTTTAAGTAGTTTTACCCGCTGGATAGGTTTTCTAGTTATTTCAAGCCCGATGCATGTTGGTTGATTCATGTTGTCAAAGGAATACTAAGCGCTAGCTCGCACGTGTCTTTAAATCACTGAACCGTAACGCGTTATGCAAGTTCTATTTCCTACCGCTTTCATTGTCCATTGCAGACAACAATTTATTTCCACTTTGTGGGCAAAAGACGGAGTAACCGGTCCTTATTATACTACTGGTCTTTGTGGTTTGTTCGACTAACTTTGTCTTAGGTCCTCATAAAGTTGAACAGCTTGATCGTACCTAGAGTTAAAAATAATGTGGTAAAGAACAGTTGGTTGAATGACAATAGTAATATGTTGATTACAAACTTAGTATTTTTAGGGTTTGGACAGAATAGGCCATTTGCACGATGGCGTCATTTTAATACTACAACCACAATCCTCTTCGTTTTTTCTTTCATATTTAAATATGGTCATTCCAGCGAGGTTGCAATTACAAAAGCCCAAGGGATTCTGGTCTTCGTAGTAAAACAACGTCATCGTGCAAAAAGCCTATTCCAATTGCCTATTCCAGATCCAAGAGGTTGAATAGATTCTTTGAGCATAATCTGACTTCCTAAAAAGAAGGTCCAACAGCCGACTCATTCAATGCAATTATAACACTTCAAGAAGTATTTCAGGAGTAGAAAAAAAAAAGAATTTAAAAGGAATTTTTAACGGCCCTAAAAGAAAATGTATGAATATGTTGCTTGAATTTTCTAGTAATTCAAGAGCAATGGCGTTATGAATAAGATAAGGTATGAGAAAATTGCAAAATGGTTTTCAATTTACAGTGTTTCAATGGTCAATACAGTCAACAGTGTTAAAATAAGTGCAGTCTGGCAGTGATTATTTATGTTCATCGATTGACACTACATTGAATGTTTTTGTTACGCAAGCAGTTGTCAATACTTCACAATTTTACCTACATTCCATCCAGTTTAGACTTGGAGGGTGTCCCGCTTGAATACGGACTTTTTTGCAGCTCAAGCACTTTACTCTGTAGCGAAGATGTTAAATCCTTGAGCGGTGTTACATCATCCTGTAGAATATTTAAAATAACGATTACTGACTTTTTGAAACGTCTTTAAGAAGGTGTAATTATGATTTCAGCGAAGCCAAAAGTGAAATGATGTTCCAAGTTCCATTCTTGACAGACATAGTTTCATCCTTGATAAAAGAAGCTCTAAACCTGACAGATGGAAGTTCCATTTTCGAATGAAGAAGTTTCATTATTGAAAAAGGAAGCGTCATTCTTGACAGACGAACATCCATACTTGACAAACGAGATTTCATTTTTGACAGGTGCAGTTTCATTCTTGACAAACGCAGTTTTTTATAATAGTTCCATTCTTGACGGACAAAGTTCTATTCTTCAGATATGAAGATCTACTCTCGACAGAAGAAGTTACATTATTGACAGACGAAGTTCCATCCTTGAGAAAGTATTCTTAAAGTAAACAGCACAATTTTTCTCTTACATTCTGCAATGATTCCACTTTTTTCTGCGCTCTTTTCCATCCCCTCAGAATCTTGTCATCTGACAAAAGGATAAAACCATCTACATCAAATACAGTTTCTTTTTTTTCAAATAGCGGGACATCTGATAATAACTGAGATTTCCATCAGGTTTCTTGACTGTAGGCTATAGATACATATGAAGGCAGCGTGGTAGAGAGGGAAGAAAGCTCGCTTTGTTCATCCCTCGCCCTTACCGCTAGTTGGATTTGTTTTCTGGGATTCTTAACCTTGTTATCTTTACTTAGATTGTTCCTTTCAGTCATTTTCTTGGCCTCAAAGAACTGGCATTGCTACTTTTACAGTCATACGAGTGACACTTACTTTTCAAGATGCTGATATTTTCTGCATAACATTCTAAATCTTTCTGTAAACTGAGAAAGGAGAAAAATATGAGGTCAAAAACCTTTAAAGACGTAAACAACTTGAAACGGTCCAGATATGAGGTCTAAACGGAACGAACATGTTGGAATGCCTCTTATTGTGAGACTAAAAACTACTTACTTTTTCTTTCCATATAACAAAATCTGGTCTCAGTTTGAATACCTTAATTTGAAAAAAAATTATAAACTTTGGCCTCTAGTTTTTTCATGTGATTGTTCCGTCATAAAGCGCATCCTTTTATTGCAAACTGTCCAAGTTTAGAATTTAGATGCAACAATGAAATCCTGTAAGAAAATTTGGAATATCAAACAAAAGGCAGTGAGGCTACTGCGACAGGTAGATTAAATCACACCTAAAAAAAATATTAAGGTTATTCACTTTCCAGAATGCTAGTTATCACCAATTATCTAACAAGAAGAATACTCAGTTTAGTAAAACAATTCGAGTTACTTTGATATAATTAAGGTTCATTTTTAGCTTGAACTTTCAATTTGGTAGCGGAATCTTTACTAATGGAGTTTGACGTTTTGTCACGTGAGCTTTACGAAAGCATTCTGATCCTGAGAATGTAAACTTGCCTCCTTTCAATACGTCAGGAAAAAAACATATTTCTTCACTGATATTTAAGTAATGAACAAGAGATAGCGTGTAGCCTGTTAGGTTGCTTTCGACAGATTCAGGAACACTGTTTAGTGTAGCAAACTCTCAATTTCTCTTTTCCTTTAAATACTAAAGATTAAATTAGTAAGTAAATAATTTTATATGAGAAACGATCTTAAATCGTTTCCACCTAAGAATTAACGGCATCTTTTGCTTCACTTGATGTAAACAGCTATAGCCCGTAGTTTGAGGACGCCTATCCACTCGTATATGTTTCATATAGTTTCTCTTAGATCTCCTTGCCACTTCTCTTTTTCTACTGTCTTATATTTTTGTATTGTGTGGCAAGTAATTAGTATCATTATGTGGCAAGTAAATAAATAAAATAAAATAAATAAGCGTTCATGCAGTAGAATTGCAGCGTTTTGTTCGTGATCTGGCCCGGACGTAAAAGGTAGAAGGAATCGTGTTTTATCAGTTTTCAGGCAACCAACTGTTATTAATGTTGTCAGGCAGTTACACACAGGAACTAAACTCAAACGTTTATGAGTTTTAGAAAGGTGCAGTGGTAAGAGCACTCTGGCCTCCCACCAATGTGGCCCGGGTTCAAATCCCGGCGTCGACGCCATATATGGGTTGAGTTTGTTGTTGGTTCTCTCCTTCGCTCTGAGAGGTTTTTCTCCGGGTACTCCGGAATTCCCCTCTCCTCAAAAACCAACACTTCCAAATTCCAACTCGATCTGGAACACATGGAAACATTTCTTCGGGTTCTTAAGAACTACCAAAAGCTCCGTGGGTGAACAAATTAAAACAAATTACAATTACAAATTACAAGGTAATATTTAAACTCACTGAACAGCTCTGAAACCTTCCATCAACAGCCGATTGATCTTTCGCTGTTCTTGACAGAACTTTACTCCCTGTGCAAAGGCTCTTTTTAACTCCTAAAAAAACCAACGTTATTTTGATAAATTTATGACTTGAAAAATTGCCAGCAAACACAAACTTTACACAACAGGGAGCTTAAGCAACGACGACGGCGACGGCAATGAGAACGGCAAAAAAAACAACAGGTTTAGATTAGCAAAACAGCAACTTTGCACGTGCACATTTCTTTGCCGTCGTCGCACGACAACAACGTGAAAGTGCCTAAATTCACGTTTTGTCGAGGACGGGAACACAAGACAACAACTTTCTTTTTCTTTTTCTGAACTTTGATACAGTCCTTTAGCATTCAACTCCAAAAATATTTGCCAACATTTGACGAAGTAAACGAGATGGAACAAAGCGCGATAAAGTTTGAAGCAGCGCGAATTTACTTTTAAAGTGACGTTTTCGTTGCCGTCGCCGTTGTTGTTACTTAAACTCCCTAATGTGTTCTTGGTGCTTTCCACTGTTCCCGTAGAGACAAGTGGGAAGCTTAAGCTAAGACGTTTTTTAGTTACGCACGTCAACCGGAAGTGAGGCCTTTTCCCATATTCCCCATTTTCACATCGACCATAACGCACCTTGTTTACCCCCAAAAAAAATTGAAAACAATGGTTATGCAAAATTTGGGGGGTAACCAAGGTGCATTCTGGTTTATGTGAAAGTAGTGAATATACATTGACGCTACCAAATTTGTATTGCAAAGACGATTTGTTCCAAGATTTGGGCAAAAGCATTGCCCAAGAATGCAAGAAGTCCACTTCTGGTTGACGTGCGTCGCTCATAAACGTCTTTACTCAAGCTCCCTAGTGTTAAATAACCAACGAACTAAGCAAAGTGTTAACCCAATTTGTAAAAAAAAGCAGAATCTTCACTCTTGTCGTTGTTTGGACGAAAGATAAATCCAAATAATATTAGGAAACAAATTAAGTTCAAACGTACATTAATATCTAGTTCACACCACTGATAAAAACTATTTTACCTCGTATGACATCACTGTCTTAGGTTCGGTGACTGAAAATAAACATTAGAAAAAATGTTAGGTTTCTAATATAGACTCCCAGCATTATTAAAGCTAGTTTTCGCACGCTTTCCTTCATTGACGCCCCATTTTCTAATTAACAGCGAAAAATATTGATCATTTTGGTCTTCAAGGAAGTTATTTGGAACCACTTTTGCTGAAAGTGTTAGCTAATACGAAATCTTTTCACCTACAACAATTTTAAAATTGTTCTCCCCAATCAGCCCTGAGTGCAAGCTAGTTCACTGAAGTTCTTTACTAGTACCTCGAAAATGCATGGTCTATTCTGACTGCAAATGAACGTAGTCCCTTAGCCTAGGCTATGTACTTAGTGTGTGCTGCAGGAGATTCAGTTTTCTTATTCCATTTTTAACCCACTAGTAATTAACTAAATATTTCCAAAATAAAAATTTCAAACAAGGTAATGTGGATACCATCTAGAGTACCGTTTCTTCTAGTTTCTCAAACCGCACTTTGCAAAATGACATCTAGTACAGGTATAATTTTTGAACAAAAATTCAATTGACGCAAGCAAATAAACCTGCTGGCCGGTAAAATCAGACCTCAGAGGGGATGTCTACGTTGAGAGAGTCACAGTTATTTTTATGGAGGGGAAGCAGGGATAACGAACTGGTGAAAGAACTCGCCTTCCACCATTGTTGTTGTTGGTCCGAGAGATTTTTCCCTGGGTACTCAGTTTTTTTCCTCTCCGCAAGAAACCAATATGTGGAAATTCTAAATTGACGGGAAAGGTGTCCCCACTCAGTGTTAGACGCTAAAATAGAAGGCCACAGGTTTATCAGCTCTTAGAACTTTAAATTACCACCTGTTGCAAATAACGTTACATGTCTGTAGTTAAGTTTCGGTTTATGTAATGTTATCTTACCCATTCCTTTCACTGTGGGTGGCATAGAATGTATTGGCCTTGCTGTGGAAAAGGTTTTAATATTTGTAGGCAGAAGAAAAAGTGCGCAGTCCTCATCCTCCTGTAAGAATAGCGCACAATAAACAACATCAGTGCAAAGTCTATCACCCTTGTTCAGTACGTTACATACAAATAAACCTTCTGCGTGTGGTCATATTTTAAAACGTTTGGGGCAATCTCCCCGTCCCCCAGTGCTCACAATTGTCCATACCTCAACCTTTTGGAGAAAACCACACCGAAGGTGTGTTTTTCAGTGTCAATAAGAAATGGATTTTTAAATCAGTAATCGGTGCAGGTTTAACCATAAAACAAGTACTTTCAACTGCTCCTGAGCAACTGTTCATTGAAATCAAGTGTATTACTCCATCATGTTTCTCAAGATCTAACTGGGTTATTTTAACATCTACCACGGTACGAAAAGAAATCTACACTGACTCTTTAACAAACACAGTATTGTGTTCATAAATAGAATTTTTTCATACCTGACTACTCTTCTTACAGATATCCATTACAGGAGTTGTTGGGTCCACAGTTTGCCCTGAATACGCTAGCAGTTCTTGGTCCTCTTTATCTATTTCAGTCACCTCATACAATTTCACTTGAAGATCCTCAATTCTATAAGAAGAAATTACTGTGATAAAGCTGCAAGCGTGCAACTCGTTATCATTTGCCTTTGACCATGTGCAGTTTACAACTACATTCTTTGACTTTCCTTCCAGAATTCATTTAGAATCGACCTTTTTGTGTTGAAGGACATCTCTCGTAAGTTAAAGAAGTAATTGCAGTGTACATAACTTTAACAAGTTTCTGACAAGATATCCTGTTTTATGTATTAGCCTTTAATGTCTGGTAATAGATGTTGCAGGTCAAAAATAACTTCAAGTTAAAATTTTTTACGTTACTCGTAGGTTTTTTCTCAAGTTTGTTTCTCTCCTAACCATAAATTCATGAATAATGAGGGCCAGGAGACAAAGGAAATTGAGAATTAACTTAGGTTAGAAAATTTTACCCTGAATTTAATTTTAACCTGTAACATAGACATATAATCAAAATCTTGAAATATTTTAAACTCACGTTTCATTAGGGAAAACTTCAAATGACAACATCGTTGAAGTACTGACTGAGAATACATGTACAACCTACAAAGGAGAAAACGTTTTATCATTTATTGAGAGAATGGCAGAGATAGCAATTTAATTGCTAAAAGCCTTACAGAGTATGACGATTACATACCATAGTCTTCATTATTTTTTCAAGCACATCATAACACTCCTTCTTTCCATTTTCCTGAGTTGAGCCTCCACGCTCTTTGGGGTCCCACAACAATAGCAGTCTGAGTAAGATTACAAACTTGTCTTGCAATTGTCTGTTTACGAGAGAAGAAATCTTTAAAGGCCTTTGTAGCATCAGAGCTTCTCAGTAACACAAAATGTAGCCCTCCTTAGCGGGGGGCGGGGGGGAGAATGGTTTCCTCCCTTCTTCATAAATTCCCAAGAAAAAAAAGAAGAAAGGAAAGCCTGACACTCAGGTTACACAAAATGCAAGCATTATGCCATGTACACCATGCGTTTGCTAGCCAAGGCTGCTGGTAGAAGTAAAATGTAAGCACTTAAGTTAGTGTTGTTAGTGTATGGTGAAGCACTCTCAATGAATGGTAGAGTATAGCACAAAGACAATGCTAAACGATTAGATCATAAACAAGTGACGGATAGCAGTGCCAGATCCAGACTTTGAGATAAGGGAAAGGGGGGTCTTATAAAAAAAAATTTTTCCGCCGTTTGGGCCTCAGTTTGGTCCAAAAATAAGAGAGGGCCTGGGCCCCCCAGGCTCCTCCCCTGTATCCGTCACTGGATAGATAAGGAACAATTTGCTATAGAAATGAAAGTAAAGGTGTAAAGCAATGATAAAAATTTACAATTGTAATGTGCCAAATCATCAAAACTTCACACTAGTCCATAAAAATAAACATCTATAAACACACAGGTTTAAAAAGGTAAGTTCACAGTATAAAGCTGGTGCAACAACAGTAAAAACATTGTCTCCAGGTGTAATTTTGATGCGTGCAGAAGGATACCCATACATATATACACGAACTGATCAGAAGCCAGGAGTGCTCGCTAGAGGCTTGATATGACACTACTTACAGCCCGGCAAAAGTGCTACAAATGCAACAAAAACGGCAATCACTCTGTCAAACTATACTTAGTTATGACACCAAAAAAAATAACAGGTTTTGAATGACAATGTTGATCTGGTTTTAACCACTGGTGTGTTGTTGTTTTCATTAGCACAGTTACCTGCAGAGAGAATTGGGGGTTGGCAAGACAGACGAGAATTGTATTTCTCCTGAAAAAAAAAAATGCAACAGTTCATCAGCACATTAAGTTTGCATTAATATGTACAGGCCTTTTAGTGTTTAATATATCAAAGGACAAAAAAACGCATATTTTTTTAGAAAGCAAACACTAACGTTATTAATAACTATAACAATGGGCAATTTATGACAATGTGAATTAAATTGAACGAGTTTTTCATATCTTGCTGTAAGGTAATACAGTGATGTTAAAAAAAACATTAACAATGAAATATTAGTGGATTTGGGAGCAGTATATCATGAGATGGTTGAACAACTGCATGTGAAAAACGCTGGCTATGAAACAAACCATCAACCTTGCAATCCAAAAGCTTCCGTTTGAGCTCTGCAAAGTTCTGGTTACCTTCCAAAGCATTAAAGCCATTTGGCCTATTGCGACTCCCAAAAGCTTCCATTTGGCCTCTGCAACGTTCCAGTTACCTTCCAAAGCGTTAAAGTGCCTTTGCCTATTGTGACTCCCTAAAGCTTCCATTTGGCCTCTGCAAGGTTCCAGTTACCTTCCAAAGCATTAAAGCGCCTTTGCCTATTGTAACTCCCAAAAGCTTCCATTTGGCCTCTGCAAGGTTCCAGTTACCTTCCAAAGCATTAAAGCGCCTTTGCCTATTGCAACTCCCAAAAGCTTCCATTTGGCCTCAGCAAGGTTCCAGTTACCTTTCAAAGCATTAAAGCGCCTTTGCCTATTATAACTCCCAAAAGCTTCCATTTGGCCTCTGCAAGGTTCCAGTTACCTTCCAAAGCATTAAAGCGCCTTTGCCTATTGTAACTCCCAAAAGCTTCCATTTGGCCTCTGCAAGGTTCCAGTTACCTTCCAAAGCATTAAAGCGCCTTTGCCTATTGTAACTCCCAAAAGCTTCCGTTTGTCCTCTGCAAGGTTCTGGTTACCTTCCAAAGCATTAAAGTGCCTTTGCCTATTGTAACTCCCAAAAGCTTCCATTTGTCCTCTGCAAGGTTCCAGTTACCTTCCAAAGCATTAAAGCGCCTTTGCCTATTGTAACTCCCAAAAGCTTCCGTTTGTCCTCTGCAAGGTTCTGGTTACCTTCCAAAGCATTGAAGTGCCTTTGCCTATTGTAACTCCCAAAAGCTTCCGCTTGACCTCTGCAAGGTTCTGGTTACCTCCCAAAGCATTAAAGCGCCTTTGCCTATTGTAACTCTCAAAAGCTTCCGTTTGTCCTCTGCAAGGTTCCGGTTACCTTCCAAAGCATTAAAGCACCTTTGCCTATTGTAACTCCCAAAAGCTTCCAGTTGTCCTCTGCAAGGTTCTGGTTACCTTCCAAAGCATTAAAGTGCCTTTGCCTATTGTGCCTCCCAATAGCTTATGTTTGACCGCTGCAAGGTTCCAGTTACCTTCCAAAGCATTAAAGCACGTTTGCCTATTGTTACTCCCAAAAGCTTCTGTTTGTCCTCTGCAAGGTTCTGGTTACCTTCCAAAGCATTAAAGTGCCTTTACCTATTATGACTCCCAAAAGCTTCCGTTTGGCCCCTGCAAGGTTCCAGTTACCTTCCAAAGCATCAAAGTGCCTTTGCCTATTGTGACTCTGAAAAGCTTCTGTTTGGTCTCTGCAAGGTTCTGGTTGCCTACCAAAGCATTAAAGCACCTTTGTCTATTGTGACTCCCAAATTCACTACTGTGTGAAAACTAAATATCTTTTATTTGTAGAAATTGTCCTGGATAATACAACTATGACCATTAAACGTTAACTGCAAAGAAGAACAAAGCACTAAACCGAACAAAAGAAGAAGAAAGTAACTTCTCTACATAGACGTGAACAAGACAATTTGCCTTAAAGCTGTCATTAAAAGTTAAAACTAAATCATGCTACCGCCTTACCTTTGACATCGAAGTAGGCACAGATGTCTTTTGGGTCTTTCTTTTGAATTTCATGGTGCCTAAAAAGAATGGAAAAGCAGCTTGTGACTTATATTGCAAGGTTCACTTAAGCTTTCATGTGAAATCAATATTGCATAAACGTTTATTGTTCAATTTCTTTCCAGTGCAAGTCAACACAAAAAACGAACGAAGATGAAATGGGTTAGTTTTAAAACAAACAGTGGTAGATCTGTCACTAAGGATCGGAGATGGCATTTTCTTCTGGCTACTATGGGTATGACCACCTGCTACTTTCATAGAAAACATACGAAAAAAAAAAACAGCAAAACCTCTAAGCTGATTCAATTCTTTGCGTACTAATCGCATATACCCCCACAATTTTTAAACTTGGTGACAACCCTGCTGTGGTGCTGCATCAGTGTGGGCGTGAAACAGAAAACAGCTAAAAATCACCAAGAAGTTTCTTTTTTCAATTTTACAAAATTGAACTGAATATCACTTATTTTATCACATTTTATTGTTCATTGCATTCTTATCTATTCCATCTATTTTTAACAGTTCATAATATATTTACAAGTATGCTAATTTTATATTTAGCTCGCACTTGAAAATGACCCTTGAGAGGTCCAAACACTGTGACTTTTTAGCTTTAACTTTATCAAAGTGTATATCCATGAAAATTCTCATCAAGTGTCAATAAAGTGTCAAAATTGTCTTGTTAAGTTTAAGTAGTAAACTGAACAACGTAAAAATACTGCCTACTTAATTATGCTCTTATTGGAAAAATGTGTACTCCTGCATTATACCCACTAACTTAAAACAGATACGTGGGATTACCGGTAATATGTGTATGCGGCAAAAGAAAGTTTACTTAATGCTTTCATACCATTGGACAGGAGAAAGTTCTGGCAAAAATGGCCTCATCCCAGTTATGCACTCAAACAAGATAGTACCTAAACTCCAGTAATCAACCTGCAAGAACACAACAACGTTGCATTGAGATGATCAGGATGTGATCCAAGATCACTCCGATCATAGCAAATCAAACGAACCAATAAATCCACCCTGGGAAAGGATTCATCAGTTCATTTAATGCACCATGGTCAATCCAAGTGATCTCTGGCTGCCTGGCTAATCTCAGATGAGCGAAAAGCGTTTGTCAACACAGACAAGTAATGAAAACAATTGTCATTAAGTTGCAGACATTCAACCGAACAGATAAAAAATCCTGTCATACCGTTTTTGTGTACTGCACTCTGTCCAACAGTTCAGGAGCCTATAAGGAAAAAAGAATATAATTTATCCTTTGTAATATTAGGAGAGGCAATCTAAGATATCAGCCAAAGAGAGTAGGGGCTGCGCTGTACTCGGTTGTAAGACAAGAAGTTGAAAGCATCTTCAACTTAGGCATTGGTCGTAAGTATGTGTTACATTGGATAGATAGCCACTGGATAGATATCTATCCAGGCCATGAAAATAGAACATCATCTGATGTGCCAAAACAGTTGTTTTGTTTTTTGTTTGTTTTTTTTTTAGTTGGCAGGGCACCAGCTCGGGAATAATGCAGATAATATATTGGGCTGGGCAGCTCTTGGTGAGGTTAAAATGCAATAAAAATAAATTAAAATAATAATCATTGACATTTATTATCAATATAATAGTCATGAATATTTTTCAATGGGCACACACCAAATATTTCAGTGTTCCTACAAAAGTACTGGCTAGGCTTCCTTGATCAAGTTCTTTTGCATAACCAAGATCAATCAGTTTATAAACCACCTACAAAGCAAAGATATAAAACATAGAGAAAGAGAAATAAGGGGGGGAAGGTCACATGTAATGAAGGTGGAGGAGAGGAAGAATGTAAGGAGGAAAGAAAAAAGAAAGAAAAGACTGAGGAGTAGCCCCTCACTCAGAAGTAGGTTTGGCTTGTTAAGCAATCCTGGCCAATGAATCCCAAAGAATGAGCAGAAGGAAAGAAAGTATAAAGGAAGAAATGGAAAAAGGAATGAGTCATTGAGTAAAGAAATGAAGAAAGAACCAAAGGAGGGAGGGAGGGCAGGGAAGGAAGCATGTTTGCTGGAGTTCTCACTAATGTAGTGACTGACTTTCCCATAGGCTAACAACTGGCCAACTGATAAAAACTAAAAGAAATGCTTGATTGATTGATAGATTCTCCTGATTGAGTCATCCACTGACTGAAAGACTGAGTTACTGGCTTAATGGGTGGCCACTAAGTAGCAGATTGGCTTTTCGGAATCAAATTAAAGGGACTGGTTGGCCACTGGTCACTTGTCTAGTTGAAAATGTACTATTTTACTGGCAGGCTGCATTCAAGAACAGCTAAGTGCTTGATGAAATAACTGGCTGGCTGGTTGAGATAGTGAATGGTGGGCCAGCTGCCTGGTCAGCTAATTTATCCCACCTTCTTATCCATGTGACTTATTACAATGTTTTCAGGTTTGATGTCTCTATGAATGATTCGATGACCATGAAGAAACTCTACTGCAGCAGCTAAGGAAAAACAGCAAATAAATTACATTTACATGTATTTACTCTGAAGGTAACTGGGAGCCTTGCTGTTTTAATTTGGAGTCACAAATAGCCAGGGAATGAAATATTTGAGTCTGAGTCTGATTTTAACTTCACTGTAATGATATATTGAGGATTATAATTTCATAACGCCTAGGTTTCTTTACATCATGATAAGAAGTTAAATCAATCCATTTTTTAAATGGTCAAAATGCTTAAAGGCAGAGAAGAATCATTGTTCTACAGTTCTTCTAAATCTAATGGAAATTTAATTTTTACTGGTACAGTGTATTTCAGTAAAAGTCAAAATTATTGCAATATTCCTCACCAATATCAGAGGCAATCCTCAAAACTGTGTTTTCCCTCAGTCCGCAGCAACTCTCTGGTGAATTCAATACCTTAATTGATGAGGAAAACATGCTATTGATTGTTGTGGATGTTGATACTTGTATTAAATATAAATCTAAACCATCCCCCAAAGTAGCGTACATGGGGTCTGGAGGGCTTTAACTAGCCATCGGTAAGATATACTAAGGAAGTAAAATTACTAGCCTGAGAAAACAGCTGACATTTCATGACACCACCAGTGGTTTCCCCACAAAATGACGTCTGACAAACGAGCGCAGAAAGTCCATAATGATGATGCATCACTACCCAGATCTGGATAGTGCTTCTTATTGGTCGTACCACATGGGAAATTTGCTTCAACCAATCAGAAGCACTACCGAGATCTGGGTAGTGATGCATCATCAGGATGGAATTTCTGCTCTAGATTCTCAGATGTCATTTTGAGGGGAAACCAGTCGTGGCGTCGTGAAATGTCCGCTGTTTTCTCAGGCTATAATATTTAATACTACAAATTATATAGCACATAGTCACAAGATTTTAAGTAACCAATCAGATAGCGATAAGGTTTTGTAAATTTGGCCCTTATAGCATAACACTTAGTTAAGTTAATTAATTAGTAAACAAATTAGTATTGGTTTTTTTCCAAGCTATATGGGTCTGACACATTTTAAATAAAGTTATCTGTCCGTCCGTCCATCCATCCATCCATCCAGCCATCTATCTATCCATCCACTCTTTGGGTATTCGTGCAGTTTATAGCATAAGCAAGCAGATTACGGAAGTGAGACCGTTATTACTGCTGCCATTTTGTTGCAGATTCATACAACTTTAAATTTTAAGTTAAGCCTTGATTCCTCCTTTTGGGTGATTTAGATTGTCGCATTTTATGGCATGTTCCACAAGGCTCTCTTGCTTCCTACATCCCTGGGGTAAGTTTGATTCTAGCAAGCAGCTCACCAAAGCAGATTTTAGGTTTTTCCCTGGGGTACCCTCATTGTCATTCGCTGGAGGAAGACTATTCAGTTTTGTGAATAGGTGGTTGAAATCCCTCTTCCTTGTTTTCCCTGTAGCAAGTTATACCCTACCGCGCTATTCTTCATGCCTTTAGTTTTACACCCCCTGCCCCAGACAGTCACGCCTTCAACTGGGTTGAAGCCCCCATGCACCCCAAGCTGGCGGGTTTTTACTTATCTAATCAATTTCTCCGCAAACTCAGGGATCATCTTGCTCTTGTAGTGTCAATCCTTTGTTATAAATGCATGGGGCACTCTGTTTATAGAGGTGGGGTATCCATTGCTTATAACAGTCCAGCATTCTCATACAGCTCATAAAAGCATTAGGCGACTGATGTTTGGACACTGTCCTTATATACCACACCATGCCTCTAACCACCCGACTAAAAACAGCTATCCTGCTCTGTAAATCCTTTTTATCTTATTCCACATAACCACATAACCTTCACATGTTTCACTACCCACTTGGGTTTGGGGTTTTATATTTGTTTTAATCAGTTCTCTCGGGTGTATTTACTGGCATTTAAGTGTTCTAGTTGTAAGACTGTCAGATCTCAAAGAGTGTGGCATGGTGGTTCAGACACTATAGCAAAAAAAGTTCTATATAAATTGGCCAACTACCACCACATTCCTAGATCCACAAAACATCCCTTGCTTAAAACTTGTATTTGAAAACTTGGGAAAAACTAATTTTAAATTTCACCTTTCTGAGATCTCCTCCAGAGCAGAATTCCATAGCCAGTAGAGGAAGCTCATCATCTTTAACATCCAGCGGTGATGGTACATCTCTCGCTGACACAAGGTTAGGATGATCAAGCCTTTTCATAATATCCACTTCCTGCTGCCAGCGTTTTCTGTTCCGAGGATTCAGGTCCAAACGACATCGCTTCAGTGCAACCTGTTCCTTGGTAATCTAAATTGACAAAACTAACAAATCAAATCCTGTAGGAAATATGCAATAGGCTGCAGCATTTCTGAAAACAATAATAATGTAAACTGGTCAGTAGGAAAATATAAAGAGCATAGTTGCTCAATATTTTATTAGAATTTATAAAACAATTAATTTTTTTTGGGGGGGGGGGGGTAAACCATCTCATGACCAAAAGGTTCTCAAGACATACAAGTCATGAATGTTAATTTTGATCTAGAGACCTGAAGCAGTAAATCCTTATTTAAATGTCCTTGACCAACATTTTCTGTAATGAAATCAAAGCCTAATGATGGTGAACAAACACAAACATGACAGCTTATTCTTTAAAAAAGTCAACTCCTTAAATGCTGTTTAAACCATATACAACACTGGGCACAGGAAGAACTGCTCTGTAGGACCTACAATGATGATGATGACTCACCATGATAGAATGCAGAACAGTTGAAGAAAGTGGCATGTTCATTCCTCAGAAAGCCAAGGTTTATAAATTAAGAAGAGCATGGATCACGCACAGATTGCAGTGGCCTGCAAACTTAGGTGGCCAAAATATACAGTTTCTATACATCTGCTGGCATCCGCAATGCCTGGGGGAGTGGTACTTCCTCATAGGAAATTAATGGGGATGTGCCGCTGGATGGGATCACATTTTCACGACTGGATTGACTATAATGGGCTGCATTTTCAATAGTTACTACTGCAATGGGGTCGCACATATTTGAATTTTTTTAAAGTTCTTCACATTTCAGTTGGCAAACGTACCAGAACATTAATTGTACTGTAGGCCAGGTGAAAACAAAAGTGTTCTTCTTTTATTTTAAGAAAAAAGCGTCAATTAGTTTTAGGATGACCTGTTTCAAAAAGGATTGATAAGGGAAATACAGTGACTAAGATAGAAAGAGATTACGTTGGGATCATGAAAATTACATTTGCCCAAAAGAGACTAAGATGTAAGATGGGATTTATATTTGGCCACAAAATAGACTTTATTATGGGGTAGGGACTCTGAGAGGCCAGTGGCACATACCCAAGTAAAACTGCTCTTATGACATAACTGACTAATAAAATATATATGGTCACCTTGTTTTCATACAGCATAACAGTTCCAAAACTCCCAGACCCAAGACATCTTTCTTCTACCCACCCGTCCTTCGACATCTTCCTTTCTCTTCCATATTCCATCACCAGCTATTAAAATTAATGTAAGCAGTAGATAATTAATGGCATCAAAAAACATGAAAATGTACAAACATCTCTATTCTGTGAAAAGAGTGACATGTGAACCACAGGATACCCGCAGATAACAATGCTGTCAACTCTCCCGCATAATCTGGGAGACTCCAGATTTTAAACTGTATCTCCCAGTCTTCAGATTAGAGTCTGCTATCTCCCAGATAATCGCCAAAGTTGCCATTTCTTGTAGAATTGACTTTCCAATCACAAAATTTCAAATAATTGCATTGTTTGAGCTACTGTAAACATAGAACATTTCCCAATAAATTCTGGTATGCCACTGTAATTTAAGCAATAATGTGGCTAAATATGAACTGTTTATGTGCTATATACGTCGATCGGAATCAGCGTGCATTTTCGGCACAAATGACGTCATTTGCCGTGCGATATGATGTCATCTATCATTTCTTCCCTATCAATTCTCAAATGATGTTTGATGATGTGGGGGGTTGACGGCCCTGAGATAATCAACAACACGCTGAGATAAGACACTTACAGGACCATCACAGGACTGCACCAGTAGTATGTGGATCTCAAAAAAACTACTACACAAATGCATAGATAAACTTTCATCATAGTTGCTGCATCATCCACACAAAAATCAAATCTGACGTGAACATTTTAATCGTGATAAGTGACATGGATGGTGAGGTGGGAGAAATACAGCTCCCAGTGGAGTTTATGTAATCTAGATATAGCAGCTAAGTGTATTTCCATTAGAAACAAATAATTATGAAATTCGACCATTTTTCCATAGCTCTACAGGTCCTCTACTTGGGTATGGATGACTTTGACTCCCTTCAAGGTTTAAAACAAACTCTTTTTCAGCGACTCAAAAATAATCACCTTTAACAAAAATGCCCTTAATGCCCCACAATGATCCATTTCTTTCAAGTGCGTGACATCGTTTATATGTACCACAGGTTGCACATGCAAGCAAGTGGTAAAAGCGCGCTAGCCAAGTACAGAAGTGAAAATGTGAAACTGTTCTACAGTCCACAGAACAGGCCAATACACAAACGTACTGGTAAACCATCCGGGTACACCTTTATAACTTCCATTTTCTTCCAAATCATACTTAATTTTAACCTTACAGAAATCAATATAACACGTATCACAAAGTACCAATGTTCAACAGCCGGTAAAACATTATTTACTGCATAGGGATTTTTAGCATGATTTCATAGCTTCCTGGTGCCAATAAACTTAAAGCGTAGAGCTTCCTAACAATGCAGACCTTGTTAACCCTACCAAACAGTCAAAAAATTCCCCTTAATACATCGTCCACGTTCATGTCTACCGGCTAAAATCCCCCAAAGTATTTAGTTATTTACCTCAAACTCGTTAACTATCCCTGTGCACAAAATGGTTGAACTCACATTGTCAGATAAACAAACTAACAGAGGACGCCTGTAAGCTTAAATCTGGGTAGCATTTCGTCAAAGAAAAATCAGAGGAGCCATTCATTCAGATAAGTGAACCATCGTTCAAGAAAGACGGTTCAGAGGATTGCCACAAGGATCAAATTTAGCACACTGACAACATCCTCCATCATTCGGGTATCTCCCCTAAAAGGCGGAAGTGGCAGTCAAACAATGAGCTCGGAGAGTGTTATGGGTAAAAATAGCCACTCTCTTTGGTAGTGTGCGTACGAACCCTATCCATCAAATAACTCAAAGCCTGAGGATAGGGGTTGGTAGTCTTCTGCATAAAACAGATTAAAACAGGTTTTCATCTATAGAGACAAGGCTAAGATTCCTTGTCGCAGTAGACTGCGAGCAGTCCCTCTTTTTCTTCAGATTTAGTGAGGGGAGTGCACGCGCGCGCGAGAAACGAGGGCGGCAGCCCGAGAGGAAAAAAAAAAAAGAGACTGCCCGCACAGCTAGAGCAAATCAAACTATTCAACTTTTAATTAATAGTCAAAAAATTGATCAAGTAAAAGAAACAGTTTTCCTGGGAGTAATCATGGACGAAAATTTAAATTGGAAATCTGAAATCTCACATGTCGCCAATAAAGTTTCTAAATGCACAGGAATTATTCGTAAATCCAGTTTCTATTTATCCACGAAAACCTTACGAACACTATATTTTTCTCTAGTCTATCCATACCTTTTTTACTGCAACTTAGTTTGGGCCTCTACTTACAGAACTAACCTTATTCGTCTTGAGATTTTACAGAAACGAGTGATCAGAACTATAGCTAAAACCACTTTCGATGCACATACTGATCCAATCTTTCAAAATCTTGGTGTCTTAAAATTTCATGATATATACTTAATACAACTAGGCTTATTCATGTACTCCTATCAAAACCATACTCTACCTTTAAAATTTCATTGTAAATTTACCTTACAAAGTCAAATTCATTCGTATAATACAAGAAACTCGTGTAAATTTCGTCTGCCTTTCTGTCGTACTCGAACCAAGCAATTTTCCGTTTAAACACCAACATCATCAACGCTTCCTCACCTTTCTCCTTAAAAAGAGCACTTAAGGCATTTATTTGTAATAATTATTAGTATACTTCAACAAAAATCTTGGGAAAAAGTCTTTTAATATTCAACATTTGTACATGTAAACTTCCGTAATATTGATTAGTTTAATTTTTCACCTGATATTATACTGTACCCGTCGCCGTAATTTTTATGCCATCTTCGAAAAATTGTAATTGAGGAGGCCTAATTAACATAAGCTCTATAGTTTCTTTTAGGCCTCCTCGCCATCTCTTCCTACATTTTTTTTTTTTTTCTTTTGGCATCTTTAAGTAATGTAATTGTGTGGCAAATAAATAAAAATACCTAAAAAATACCTAAAATACCTAAATGAAATATGCGTTAGCCTCACAACGCAAAATACGATTGGCTGATGCGTGAAGCGTTGACTACAAATTGTTAATAATCGAAACCATTAACGAGTTGATGACAGCTGAAGCACTGCAGAATCTTTGTCACGTTTCCCGAAAATAGAAGCATTAGATACACAGCAATGAGAAGCAATGCTCAAAGCCTCTCTTCATTGCCGAGGAACGCTTTAGCTCCAAAACTGCATTCTTTTTTCGTGCTTCTTCCGTCTCGCGCCCTCAGTAACCCGGTGGTCATTTGCGTGTCTCGCGCGTTTTGTTCGATGGACCAAGAAAAAAGAGAGACAGCTCGTAGTCTATGTCGCAGAGCCTTAGCCTGAATTTCAGCCGTCCCTCCCCAGATTCCGAGCAGTCTCTCTTTTGCTCGAAAATCTGTGAACGATTGTGTTATGTGAGCATGCGTGTACGATGGCCTGAGCAAAAGAGAGACTGTTCGCTGTCTGACAGCCGTCCCCGGTTCGGTGGGGTGGGGGGGGGGGAACTACCATATATGGGCTACATAGGGTATGTGCCGCTGTGAAGGCTATGGTTTTCAGTTTGCTCTGGGAAAGGGTATATAAATCAGAGAGTTTAGGTCTACAATAGGTTATCAATTTTCAGGAAACTGATCAGTTGGTTGAAGATTTTAGTCTAGACTAGGGAAACCAAAGAATTGCCACTCAAAAGTATAAAAATAATCAAAGGATAGGCTCCTGAATCGGCAAGTTTAAATTTATGCAACTCATCCTCAAAGCTATTCTAGTATAGCGCAGCAAAATTCAGTCGAACTAGCTCTGGTATAGGCTAAGGATTCCAGGGTCCCAGCGGCAGATCCTCACCCAAAAATTCCCCCGCCTGGGCAGCCGTCTGCCTCAAATTCCCCATTCTCCACAACACTCGGCGATCTGATTGCTCACACGTCCCTGGAAAACGCCTAAACTGCTGTGCATGCAGACTATCCTTTTTCCAAGGCTTGACCCCTGAGAAATTCAAACTTAGAAAAATAAAGTCGCAAGTAATACAGTCGAAAATCCCGTAAGTAACCACCCAAAACGCAAACATTTAGAAATCGCTTACGGCAGGTGAACGCTTACGAGAATCGCACCACAAGAGGTGTCTTCCGAGAAGAGGTCCCGATACATGTTCCATGTTGTGACGAAATGTTCTTCGTATAAATGTTCTTCGAAAACTCTGGAGTGGTACCAACCTCGTTCCCATGGCTTTGGAGTGGTACATACAGCGAACATCAATACCATAGTATCAAAACCGTCAAACCAGAAAGTGGCATGGTCGCGCGCGCGGTCGCTTATTAGAGGTGGTCGTTTACGAGAGGTTCTGATAATAAGGTTTCGAGTGGAAAAATTAAGGTCTTTTTGATAGGTAGTCGCTTATGGGAGAGGTGCTCGCCCCTGGAGGTTCGCCTGTATTAAGAGCCTATAGTAAACTTGAATTTGTAACAAGTGAACAAGTTTTCACTTTCTTTGTCGTTTATTGTTCATTATATCCACTCGAAAATAAAAGTTTCGTACCGGATCTATTCAAAACGATTTTTCGGTACCGCTTTAATCTGCTTATTTCTTAATTTAAGAAATTGCCGCAAACGTGAATCTTAATCTCATTCTCTTTTCCGTCAACAATTACAATTTAGGCGCTAGCTGAGGATTTAGCCTTCTGTTGGCTAAAAATTTTTGAACTAATCTTCTAATAGCCGCTGGACTTAGCAAAGACAATACAAAGTCGAACGTGAAGGCGAAAGTGCGCTAAAAGGACTGAACCCCACTTCCGGTGCTTTTAAGTTGCCGCTCTGCCATTGGTCAAGTCGATTTTTAGATCTGCACCGTCATCACTGTCTTTGCATGACGGCCTATTATCACCCAAGAGCGACCGTCGAACAGTATAATCATTCGGCTTAGCTAGCGGTTGGGACCCGCACGGAGGAATCCCTTGAGACGCAAGAATTTTTTAATGATAATCCTTCGTGTGAGCCTCGACTAGGAACGTGACTTCTCCTTCACTTTGTAGGGCGCACAATAACGGCGGGTCACAGGGAAGTTAACCATTATTCCAAAAACATAACATACATCGTGACCTTCAAGATGTAATGTCGGGTCACCGTCGTTTTTGCTGATTTTATCACGCGTTTGTCAAGAACTGCAGTGGAAAAATTTTGGTATGCTCACCCGCAGTACGTCATACGCAAAATAGGACTAGATTTGTTACAAGGGTGTTACCGATTATTAAACCTCAACAGCCCATGTGATAAGCGAGACACACCTCTGACTTCTCAAATCTCTTCAACTATTCGGGCCCGGAGACATCTAAATAATAGGTAACATACAACTAGTCCAATCTATATTGTTACCTTGATATTTGCTTTCGAAACCATTATAAATTAGATACTTTGCTACAAACACTCCATCTCAATGACCTAAAAAGAATCGTAACAGAAGAAACGAGCCCCGGAGCAGACTCGCACTTAATCGTTAATTAGGGGTTTTCGGGTTGATTGTAGACTAGAGTAAATTAATTCTTAAGCAATAAAGAGTGGGAACAGGTCTGGCATAGGGGTATAAAAAGGTGAAATTGCTCCTATAGAATGAACTGCGGAAATTTTCCTTGCTTCTTGTGCACGGAAGAAACCTTAAGGCCGATTTAGACGGTGCTATTTTTGCTTACGACTATCGTGCGTGACTAGCATGCGTAATGCCTTCGCGACAGATCGTATCATGTAAATTAGACCCACGACATTCGCACGACACATTGTTGATGTCGCAAGTGAAAATTGTGAGCGTAAGGATGGTCGAAAGTCACGACGCATGCTACCAGGAGGACGAAACATTTCTCAACCGTTTAAATCCAGAACATCACCCATCTCTGCGCAAAGTTTAGAGAGCCTCTCACCCCGAGGGACAATAAGAGGGGACAACATTTCTGAATGCACTAAGTGCATTTCATTCGCTTTGAAAGAGTTAACATGGCGATGCAGTAACAGTACAAGTTTTAGGCCACAAACTGGATGTTACTAAAACGAGAGCGGAAGAAAGGGGTTCATTCTTTTTTCGGTCTTGGATGGACCACGCTAGGAAAAACGAAAAACAAGTTTTAGGCCACAAACTGGATGTTACTAAAACGAGGAACGAGAACTGGTAAAAACGAAACATACCAAAGGATAACTGGGGGTTCAAGTTAGGGTTTGTTTCCATTGCTTGTTTTCCCTTCTCCAAGCTTGTTCCCCAATCCCCGTTCTAGTACCATCTGCCATAGGCTAGAAGAAAGAAACGAACACGACAGTCTTAAAAAGGAACTTCCATTTTCGTTAAACAAAAAATAACTTCTTTATCTCTGGTAAAACTCTATACAAAATTCAACATACAATAATGACTTATTTTTAACAAATAAAGGCAATAGTATATACAATCTTAAATCTTGGTAGGTCTGCGGTTTATAACGTGTTAATGACTCTTCGTTTGTTTAACAAAGCTTCTATAAGCTTTAACTGGTGCTTGATGTGCTGCAAAGAAACAGAAACAAAGTAAACATTTGTGCCGACCACTACAGTAAACACCCGCATATAAGAACAAATGGATTAAGAACATCAGGCTGAAATTTGGCCCATAAACAGTGTGCAAAGAAAGTACTGTCCGATAGCCCGGGGCTAGTGGATTTTGCTATCGGGCTAGTAAATTCTGTTTTTAACTTGCCCGACGGGCAAGTGATGTTTTATGAGGAATTTTAATAAGAGAAGAACAAAAAGCTTTTGGGGCTAGTTGAAATGACTTCTGGGCTAGTAAATGCTAGCTTCAGCTTGCCCGAATGGCAAGCTGTAAAAATGATTTTCTTTGCACCCTGATAAAGCACCATGTATATAAGAACCAGTTCAGCCTGGCAAATAAAACATGTTCTTATATAATGAGGGGGAGGGTGTTGGAACAAGAAAGTAATGTAACTATAATGGTTGCCACTAGAAAATGACACAACTACAACAGTTGCCCGGGTGTCTTTAGGATTTTATGCTCGGGAGGATCATGTTATGCTGCAACTAGCTGAAGGATATAAATGTCAAATACATGTAATAAACTATCTGAATTTATTATTTTTTTTATTTATAAAACAAAGTTTAAGAACATATTAAGAACATCTTCAGACTGATTTCTCACTAAGCACCAGATAAATAGGAACTAGATCAGCCTGAACCCCGAAATCATATGTTCTTATATGCGGGTGTTTACTGTAACACTGTCATAGGGTTACAATTATGATTCATATCAAATATGATTCATTTTCATTCATTTCAGTTTGTTTCATTTCCACCATCAGGTACATTACGAACTCACAATGGCCAGCTCTCCAGTTGGCTCGATTAGCTCAATGGATAGAGCGTCCGGTTATGGCAAAAGGTCAGGGTTCCATTCCCGGTCAAGCCTGAATTTTTCAGATTCTTTTTGAACCGCTTAGGTCATTGATTCTTCTGCGAAGATCATGTTCCCTTTCAATGTTACAATTTGTTTGAAAAAGCCAGGTCAGACTAGTCCAGTCGTTAGTAGAATTCCAGTATTGGTCAGGACTAAACTATGAGCGGTCTCCTTTTTTTCTTAGTCCGTTGAGCGAAACGCACGAGACACGAAAATGACCACGCGGGTGACTGAAGGCGGGGGCTGCGCGCGCGCGCACTCCCCTCTCTTAATCTGAAGAGAGAGACTGCTCGCGGACTAGAGGTTTCCCCGAACATTTCGTGAAAAGATAAAAATTTTGTTTTCAAAATCACCCGTCCGGCCCGCCAGCCAGTCCTGACTTTTGGTAAGCGCCCTTGTAGAGGCCAGTACTCGCTTAACAAAGGTCTACTAGCTTCAATGATAGAACGGCAAAGTAAACACGTTACTAACAGTTTTTAAGGCGAATGTCTTGTGCTGTAAAAGAAATAACGTACCTTATACTCGTGATAATCAGGCTCCATATCACCCCTGTCTTCTCTTTGAATTCGCCTGAAAAGCATTGTAAATAAAGCTTAATTAAAGAACTCTGTACAGTGGAACCCGGTTAATACGGAAATCAAGGGGACATGCCATAATATCCTTATTATACTTATTATCGGAATTAAGCGGGCTCTAAGAAAAAGCGTCACGGACACATAGCTTATCAATAAAAACACGAAAGCAAACGTTTTCAAGAAAAAAAGGTTGTTTTATTTCTTAACTGTAACTGTAACAAGTTCATCCCGAAGCACCCTAACGATCTTTTATATTCTACCTTTTAGTATTGTTCTTGAAACAAGACAATAGAATCTGTGACTTAACTCTGTAGAAACGGTTTTAGTTGCGGCTCAGCCAGATGGACTGAATATTAGACGGAACCTTTTAAAGGTTATTTGCCGTTTCTGATAGGCTTTCTTTGGTAAGATATTCAGTCATAGACAGTGCAAATAAACAGTGTCCGTAAAGCGGGGTTGACGATACGCGGGTTTGTGACTAGGGAAACAAGCGAGAAACCAACACAGCTTAATTTCTGGAGATGTGGTGCTCTTCCCATGTTGGTTGTGTGAGGGAAAAGGGGGTGGTGATTGAAGGGGGAACACACAGGAAAAAAGGGATAAACAGATACGCAACGCTTTACCAACAACCCAAGTCACCTACCGGCCTGCTTTCTCGAAGAATTCGTCTTCAAATTTCTTTAGCTTCTTCCTTAGTTTCTTTTTCTCTTTACGTTTCAGTTCTAGCTGTTCACTTAACTCATCTCTAAAAAGGCAAAACAATATTTGCAAGCTCTATCAACTGAATGTAATATTAATACTATATAAACAGTAAAATGGTATCTGGTTAGCCTGTGTACAGATGCCCCCTCCCCTCAGAGGAGGGGGCGTCTGTACACAGGCTAGTATCTGGCTAGCGAGATGGAAAAAAGAGAATAACCAAAATCTTTTGAAAAGTTTGCAGTCACCTAGACTGAAGCAAAGTTTGTTCATCAAGAACTAATTCGCTTCTTAATGACTTTACAAACTTACAATACCATCCACCTACGACTGACCACTAACAGGTTGTCTCACCAGCATTCGAGACAGCGGCGAAAATTGAGCCTAGAAAAGCGTCAGTTTTACATTTCAAGTTGAAAGAAATGTTCTTATATCAAAATGCCCTTGTGGCCTTGTGGCTTCTCGCTCAAACATTGTCGCGTTTATTCCAATTCGTTAAAAATGTCAAAGATAGGCGATTTTCCCTGGAGTTGATTTCTTACGGACCGCACGTACGTTGAGAAAGAGAAACAAAAATTTGTCTTGGCTTGTTTACGTCCCCTATAAAACGTGAAATGAGGCATTTTCACGTCGTAGTCGTGCAGTGACGGCAAAGAAATGTACAAAAAAAGCGTGATGCACGAGCGAAGTTGCTGTTTTTTCACGTTCTTGTTGCGGTCGCCGTCGTTGTTGTTAAACCTCCCTATTAACATGTTAGGGGAGAAAAAAACCCTACAGAATCATGATTTCTACTTGAGAAGGCACACATACTGAGTCATCTCATGAAACTTGGCGTCCTCTCTGAGCTGAGCAGCATCACTAATAGTCATGGTGTCCTGTATTGTGTCCCCCAGTCCATCATCATCTCCATCTAATGTGTCCATGAAGGATGCCTCCTGTGCTTTACGACTTCTGGGTGACCCCTGAGACACAAAACAATTTAAGCATCAAACAAAACTGTCGAAGACATCATGTAAATATGTTGCCGAGTTTTCTCTCAGTTTTGTCTCTCCAGCAAGACGAGAAGCAATTACCCTGATAAATAAACAAGCCAAGGTCAAAACCCATGGAGTACACGTTGCACCCATATTCTTGTCAAAGAGTTTCCTGATCACTCAACATTTCCGTCAGAACACTAAGGACTAGGCCAAATGTCGAACTTTTCATGAGACGAACCAAACCTAGTGAGTTAAATTCATGAAAAGGTCGACGTCTGGCTCAGTTAAGCTCGTCTGAACACGTTCTATCCGTCTGCATCAGACGGATAAAACGTAAGCTTCAGAAACGTTTTCCAGGGACAAACGTCGATCTTCACATGAGACGAACTGCACTAATAAATAAAAAATTTGTATGATGATGTATATTTAGCCTCTTTCGGGAGACAATTTGATACTGAACACCCGCTGGCCGGCTAAAATTGCTTGTTGGTCTGATTCAGTTCATTGGTTCGACGCGTCCTAAGTTCGACGTTTGACCCAACAGACGATCTTAACTTAAGTTAGGTCGACCCAAATTAGAGTTTGGTTCGTCTCATGAAATGTTCGACGTTTGGTCTAGGCCTAACAGTTAATCTATGAACCTACAGATGAGAGCTTACCCTGCCAGTGATCGGAAGTGATTGAGTCATTCTGGAAGGGGAGCCACCACTGGGCGAATGTAAGGGTGCGTCTTCGTGAATAGGAGCCAGATCTGACACCAGTCGGTCCACTGAACTAGTACGGGGACGATTTCCTACGACTTTCATTGGCGATTCGGACGAAGACATCGCAAGTTTACGTTTGATATTGCGGTATCTACGAGCAAAAAATGCAAACATTAGGGAAATAAATCCAGTTAAAAGATGATGGGATACTAAAGCATCATAAAAACCTAAATCATCTTATTCATAAACCACCGGGAAACAGTGGAGTACAGAACAAGAAGAAGCATATAAAATCGCCCACAAAGCAAGTCTTCAATTTTAGTGTGAGTAATGACTAACAAACTGGGTGGTACATCACAACACACGACTAAACCAATAATTTTTCAAACCTTTGTGAATAGCATTGCCTTTTTTTCTTCTGAACCGATAGATTTCAAGGGCAAACGGAAATACGTTACACTACGCACGCGAAGACGATAGTGAAAACAAGATTTGTCAGTGAAAAAATAAACACTTAAGTTAATATTAGTGATCTAGGAAAAATGTCCTTTAGCTACCTGTCATATAAAGGTCTCATGAGATCCTTGTCTCTTTTATTACTAGGCCGACCAAATACGCTCTCATGCTGCAGCAATGCCTTTTGTACGGCCAGCTTCTCGTCCTGTAATTGTTCCCTACCCATCAATTCCACCTCCTCAGGTCTACCATCATCCTCTCTTTTCTCCTTCAGTCGCTTTAGTGAGCTCTCAAGTGAGTGTTCGATACTGACCGGGGTGGTAGTAAGGAGTGGTTCACTGCTACTGCTCTTCATGCCTTGGCTGCCCATTGGTGGAACAGTCTCATTGAGTCGCCCAGCTTCGTCCTTCGCTCGTTCTTTCAGTTCCTTGAGTTGTTTCCGCGCACGGCCTAATTCCGTGACGAACTTTTTGATAGGTGCTTTTTCGCTCTGTGACGGCCTTCGCAAGTGCTCTTCCTCGAATGCATCCTCAAACTCCCGGATTCTCTTCTTAAGTTGACTGATTGCTTTGGTAAGTTGCTTGATTGTTATTTCTTCTTTTGGAGACCCCGATACCCTGAAAAAAGCGATTTTCTTCATTGCATAGAAGCTAAATGATTCATAATTAGATTGCTTAATAAGAACGGAATTATAATGCTTGTCGCAAAAGCATTTTCTGTTGCTCAGGGTACTGCCAGTCACATAATGTTATATTTCTCCTTTTCTGGTTTATTGTTCATAAATATGAACCACAACGGACAACATATGTAATTAAAAAGAGTATTGATTAGCCTACCCATGCTGAAAATAAATAACATCCATTCTTTGAGCCTTAACTATTTAACTGTGCAACAAGCTCTTCTCAAGAAACCAGCCAAGCGGCACCGCAGGATGATAGGTGGATGTATATGTTGCGTTTCAATTTTATTCTTGGTTTAAATTTTACTTCCCTTTGTTTCGGGGTATGGTAATGTATAATAACGAGTTTAAAACAAAGGGGAAATAAAATTTAAGCCAAGGATAAAATTGAACCACAACACATCTACCGATGAATATTCCCCGGAAACAAAACTGTCTCCCTCGGAACCAGTCAGTAAGAGTTTAACCCTTTGAACCCTAATATCAAAATTCAAATTCTCATTTGTTATCCCTATACGTTTTCAATAGCAGTAGTTGGGAGAATTTTTTGAAGTATCAATTAGATTCATCTTGTGTGATCATGTCTACAATTCTCATGACCACTCTGTTTTATAAAGCGGTGATATTACAAGGAGAAATTTGACGCTGATCACTCCTAGGGCTTAAAGGGTTAATAGACCTCTTTAGCTTGTTTGTTTTGTTTTCATAAATTATGCGTAGATATGCACGTGAATAAGACGGAATTTGAAAGGAACAGTTCTCTAGAGTATTATCACATGACCTGCATTGAGAAAACAAAACATACAAGCCAAAAAGGTCAACACTAACCTTCTTTCAAACCACGAATGTTCAACTTGTTGATGAGGTGGAGATGGGGGACACTCGTGAGGTATCGTCCGGGTATCAACAGTAAGGGGCCGAGTGCGTGGGGACAAGAGTGCTTCATCGGTGCTGAGGCCGTCATATCGCTCCCTTGGAGACAGCTGTGCGTAATCCGGCAGTGAATCCTGCTGCTGTAGTTTGTAAAGCTCCAGAGGAGGGACAATAGGTGAGCCGTGGTGTTTTTTCTTATATTGTTTAGTGAGGACATCTTTTCTGGGTCTAAGAGGTGATGAATCAACCTGGTCTACGTCACCCTGTTGACAGAGAACATCCAACACTAATGAAATGATCAGCATCTTAACCCCTTCACTGCCAGAGTACTTGATGGAGTTTTGTAAGGCGAGTCTAACTTTTGAGTCTGCAGACGAAATCCTATGATGTGACCATTCAAATGAAAGCTCTCTGTCTGTACTTACACATGGTGCTATTTGAAAATGAAATTTGGAAATTTGGTCGAAATTTGCCTTTGGCCACATTTGGCAGCGAAAGGGTTAAAGGTATTACAATCGCAGTGGATACACACAATTTAATTATTTTGCAAGGTAATCCACAAAAGAGGTGTAATATTGGTACGTCTTGCTTAACACTTTTTCTTCTCTTTCTTTGTCTCCCTCTTGTCGGCAGACTAACCCGAGTTTTACATTTGTAAGCCATTACATTCACAACAAAAATTACTCATGAAAGCATGTCGAGCTGATTATGGCGTTGATTGATTGTGCTTTTCAAACCTCATCACATTACAAACTATTCGTTTTGTGGAACTCGGAGGACTGAGTGGGCTGACCCTTACCTCTTGCCTGGGTGACGAAGCTGAAGGCTGCATTCTTGGTGATCGTCCTGATCTGGGTGATTTGGGCGGTGTAGTCCTCACTTTACCTTTGGATTTTGCTTCATCGACTAATGGGTGTACTAAAGGTTTGGTTTGCTTCACCTAAAAACGTCACAGGAAAGTTAGCATGTTCCACACGAAGGTAGGCTTACTATTTACCCAGCTACACTGATAGATGGAAGATAGAAAGCATCTGTTACAGAGGTTTCCATATCATGCAGGTGTCTGGAACAGACGTGTCTGTATTATGAAAATACCCATAAATACAAGTTCCTCTAACTACAATTGACCCTACTTTTGGAACAATCCCTCTCCTAATTGGCTATTTTCTTGGGGTACGCGCGAGACTGGGTCAATGTTGTGTCGAAATGTACTATGGAACTGTTTTGGGTGGCAATGGTCTACTGAATAGAAGCACTGAAGACTCATTTATACAGGGTTAGCCTCGACCTACGGTAAACATATTCACAAATTCCAGTGAGAAGAAGACCTGTTTACATTTGTATCTATTGTTTTGAACTCAAATTCAGGCACCTTCTCGCTGGTATTTGTGAATATTTTACTTTAGGTCGAGGCTAATCCTGAATAAATAAGTCTTCAGAGCCTTTATTCAGCGGCCGCGACGAATTCGAAAGTGGACTATTACGAAGTTGCGCAGGACACTAGAACAAACTCCGCCCCCAAAAGAGCACCGTAGTGCAGTTCGACTCAACACGGACCCAGTCCCAAGCGCCAATAGACTTATCGATCTCGACGAGTCCAGATTCGCCAACATCAGCTCACTCTAGGGAAACTACTGTTCGTGGCTTCTTAAGTTATTGCATACCATAATATCGGAAGTTTAAGCAATGACGTATTTGAGCGATGCCTCAAAGCTACCAAGATTGCATTACTTCGTGCCTTTACTCTTATAGCCCTTTAAGACCTAAGAGTGATCAGCATCAAATTTCTCCTTGTAATATCAACGCTTTGTAAAACATAGTGGTCATGAGAATTACGGACATGAATCTGCCTGATATTTTATCAACTTCTCCCCACTTCTTCTGTAGGAAATGAATAGGGGCAACAAATACATGTATGGATTCAAATTTAGATCTTAGGGTTTAAAGGGATAGTGATGTCTTGCCCAAACATGTGTTGAAACTCACGGCTCAAGAGTGCAATAAGTCCACTTCCGGTTGAAGAGCGTCGCTTAAAAACGACGCTGCTTAAACTTCATATTCATGTTAAGGCCAAACAGGCAATGTACCTTGTCAAACTCTTGTTCACTTGTAAAACTCTCTCTTGTTTCTTTTCGCTTCTTTAAGCTTGGACTACGCCTGTTCTTGGGCGGAGGTGCTCGCCCTTGGGTTAAAGAACCAAGCATTTCAGAGTTCCTCTTCACCATGGACAGTGCATCTTTTCCACTACTGGTAGTCAATATCTCCTCATATGATCCTTTATCATCCTAAGCAACAAATGTCAAACGCTAAATTTATTGCATGTTGACCGGGTGAAAAGGTTAGCCTAATAGTTGTTTCAAACACACAGATGATCAGCAAAATAATGCCTAGGTTTTCTGCCCATTCAACTCGGGATAAACTTGTGCCTATCTAAAGGTGCGAGTGAATAGGAACTCTAGCAGTCACCAACCACTATTTCCCCCAATACAATATTACTCCTGAATCATTCAAACTTCACTGTAATGAGAATAATCATAGAAATGATTACCAAAGAGACGTCCGCTTTTTAAATCAGTAATGTTATTTTTCATAGCATTAGAGGTAATGGACAGACCACAGTAAGCAGAATGTGTAAGGAGATACTGAGACCATTTCAAGTACTTTACTCTTAATTGGAAGGGCGTTCGGGTTATGAACTTACCATTACTATTTCATCTTGTTTATGTTGAAAGGATCTCCCCTTGCTTCCAGGAAAGGTTGAACTGAGTACGTTGTTACTGTTATTGTCCTTTTGAGGGAAATACAATTCAACTTACAAATGTAGCAATCAACAGAGAGATAGGTGTGTTGGCTAGCAAATTAACTACTTCACTTTCTCTCCAACTACACAAAAGAGTCAATAATTTCAAATGAAAATGATTTATACAGGGACTTTACCGAAAATACATTGGTGAATTGTGCTTCCTACATAGAGATCAAGGAACATTTGCCTAAATAAAACTGTCAGTAGTGTTCATAGTAAGTGTTATGTTAGAGTTCTTAAAGCGGTTGAAGGTATTTTGATTATGCTTGAGATTAAGGATTGTAAAGGTGCGCATTCTTGGTGCAAGGACTCCTTTCAAAACTTCCAAAGCCTAGCTCTTCCCCACTGCAAGGCTGGGAATAATTTTCTCTTATGAAAGGACATACGTCCAATTACGTCAATATGTTGGACATATATTATACGTACGGTCACCATGCGGGACCGCAAGTAGGATGTCAACACTGCCGAAAATGGGCAAATTTTGGTTTGCCATTGTCCAATCAATAACTTTTATAGGCAGCTATACCATTAGGAAGTGAAGGCAAGACACTTACTACACCAATAACATAGGCTTCCCTTTCAAATAGTTCATATCCCTCAGATTTGGGTCTTTTCTTAACAGGTTTTGTGACTTTTTCTTTATCCAGTTGCCTTGCTTTGACACGCCCTTCTGTTTCAAGAAACTCGACTGTGTTTATGAGGTTCTTTTCCCGTTCATTTCTCTCCACCACAGCACTGGTATCTGTGAGAACAACGCAAAATGATAATGCTCAAACTAAGTTCATCATAACAAAATGGATCACTGTATCTTATACAAAAATTCATTTTGACAAAGGGCTCTGGCTCTACATATCAGTTTTTCAATCTTACACTAGCGACAAAAAATTTGCTTTGAAAACTCATATTAATTGGAAATGCAAATTACATTTTGGCATTTTGATAATCCTGAAAAAACTTTTGCAGTATAGTATTCTTCAGTTGACTTCAACTGAATCAAGAGTGATCCAGGCGTTCAAATTGTGGGCATAGCACAAAAAAGATGTGAGCAGCAACATCAGCAACGGGGTGGTGTAGGAAGTGAGAGCAAAGGGAAGCATTCCCTCTTTTCTCCCTCTCATCCTCCTCGATGCACTCCACTATCTGAACGGCAGGAACAGGCTAGTAAATTAGCCACCCTTAAAGACATTTTATGCACCATCCTCTCATCAAAAAAGGCCCATCTGTTCAAAAGTTGGATGACATAATCCACTGGATAAACCTCTATCCAGTGAAAGACAAAACATATCCACTAGATAGTGATTTATTTAGTGGATAGAGCTATCCAAAGTTTGAACAACTGGGGCCAGATCCCTAATTGAAGTGAGCATGTCTAATTTGGCAATCTCTCTTTTTTCAATTTTCTACGACAACGTCATTGCAATTAGATGAATATAAAACTAAGTTTTTGTATTTTATTCTCCCCCCATCAATGCAGCACCACTGTTTCATTTGAGAATTACCCGTACCACCTTATCTTTCACAAAGTCAGTCAAGAAACTGATTCAGACTAGGTCTGTATCTTATTTCAGGTGAACAACAATCCCAGTGCACAAACCTGACTCTTGTTTCTGATTCTTATTATTTCTTCTTCTCCTCCTTCTCTGTTTACCAGTTTCGTCTTCACCATAGTTACGGCTAGGCAGCGGTGGACCTAGTTCAAAGGAATAAAGTTTGTTTGTCTCCAGTCTCAAAGACACAAAACCTTGTGCGCAAGGAACAGCTGCCTTCAATATGAGCTCATAACTACATGCTGGGCTTTCAATAAAACTGAACACCTTCCAAAGCTCTGCTGGGTACATTCTGTTCTGAATCAACATCTACTTAATCTTGAATACCATCTGATTGCTTACTATAAAGACTTAAACCTCCATCTACTTTAGCTTGCTCTGCTACCTGTTACGTAAGTTGTTTTGTGGGCAAAAGCTAAGGGTGGTTACCATTAGTCAGGACCGGCTGAGCAAACAAATGCAGCCATAAAGAGAATTTCACTATTAATCAGGACTGTCTAGCCAAGCCAGTCTATTCCTGAATAGCATGGACAACAGTGTTGTTATTTTTTTAGCAAAACTTTGGAAGCAAGCCTATTTCATTTTCAAAACTACTGAACTTGCTGGCCAGTTCTGACTTTGGCAAGAGGTCTAAGTTACCAAGTAACTCTCTACCCTGGTCACAAGTCTCTTTCACTGCATGAATGTTTAGGTCTTGTGGACAAGTTCTAGTGGGGTACTTTACGAATTTTTGGGTGGGGATATGCTGCTGGGACCTTATACTAGACTTAACTCCCCAAATCCCTCCCTATCCTAGAGTGGCTATTTTCAGTTATAGCTATCTACTGATGCTTTCTATGCTATCAAACTGAGATGCAGGTAAATTTATTTAAATTTACTGATTTCCTTGTTTCAGTGTCAATTCCTGGTTTCCCTAGTCTCGACAAAAATCTTCAACCAATTGATCAGTTTTCTGGAAAATGATGCCCCATTATAGATTCAAACTCTCTGGCCCCAGCTGTTCAAACGCTGGATAGAGGAATCCATGGGATAAATCACTACCCAGTGGATAAGCAGTACGACAAACAATTATTGCACTATCCAGTGGATAGAGAGTTATCCACCTTTTGAACAACTGGGGCCTGGTTTCTAGAACCTATCCTAGAGTTAAGGTGGCTGAACACAGTTTTGGCAGTTTGTGAGTGTATGTCATTTGCCAAATCATGGCAAGAGAAAGGTTGCAGCTCACAAGCTGAAACTTGGCAGGTGAAAAATATACTAGTAAAAGATTGTGATTGACAGGTAAAATTTGACGTTTTCGTAGTTTCCATGGCAACATGAACGATTGAATACAACCTTAAAATTTCACTTTTGTTCAGTTCACATAAAATTCGCTCATTAGATTTTCCTATAAACTTGCACACAGCTTACTGTAATTAATCATTACCATTTGAAACTTATTTGATCAAATTTTAATCAATAATATAATTGTACCGTAATTATTAAATATGTCATGAAATTCGTCTGTTCAACTTCCATTTTAAAGTTTTCATTATCTAAAATATGATAAAATATCACAAAATTTTAATGAGTAGATTTTGAGAAATCGTCTTCTGTGTATCATTGCTTTTTCGCCGTCATGTTTGTTTGTCTAATTAAAAACACGCGCGTTCAAGTGAGTTACCGCTGACCGCCCGCAAAACTGTGTTCAGCCACCTTAACGGCTTGAACACCATACCCTTTGTAGCAGCACATACTTATATAGCCCATGTATGGCAGTACCTCCCCCAAGATACAAACAAGAAACAAGATAAAAGGTGTGTACTTAAGTGTACCTTCATCACCAGATTCTGGTGAGTGTGGACTATTATCATCTGTAGAAGTAAGCTCAGGACCAAACAGGTGCTCTTTGATAGTATCATTGATCACCTTTTGGACAATCCTGCAATATTAACAACAATATGCAACCTTTAACGTGTGAAATAATGCTATGCTACAAGCTATAGGGTGCAGTTAAACAAGGTACCTTGTACAGTTTCAGTAAAATGAGATGATGGGATGGGAGGTTAGTAGACTGTTCACAGTACTCTATTTTTTCATGAGATCGTCGAGATATAGCGCGTCTTATCGTTAATGGTGGCCATCTTGATTTTCAAATGTACTGACTGGGCGGGAGTGGGGGAATTATAGCTCTAGTAGGAGGAGGGCCAAACCACCCCCGTCCCCTAAGTAGTTTTGACACTCAAGCAAGATGGCAGCCTGTAACACAAAGTGCTCAATCTCCATGATCTTATGGAAAAATAGAGGACTGTGAACAGTCTAGGAAGTTAGAGTCACAATATGGTTTCTATACATGAGTAAAAGACAATAATAAATTATTGTACTTGCTGATTTTGTGATTTATTTGAATAAAATAACATTTTTTTGTACAATAAATTGTCATAATTATCTACCATTTAATCACTTACTCCTTGCCTTCAGGGGTCTTTGGAGATTCTTGAGCAAGACCAGAGTCACTATTGAGACAAGAATAATTTTGTAGTTGATTTTGATCAAGAAAAATATTTAAGATGAAATCCACCAGGACATCAAATAATTTTGATTTTCAGTGGACAAAAATCTTGTACCAGAATAATTTAAAGCATATTGCATTCTTTCTACATTTTTCAAGGGCTAAAGATGTAATAAATCACCTGTAGCGACACCAAAAAAAATTTCCTATGGGAGCACGAGAAAATGAATGTCAAATTTTTTTACACCTAACACACGAAATTTTCAGAACTTTACCTGTGTAATCACAATTCTTGTGAAATTTGACATTCATTTTCTTGGACTTCCATGAGAAATTCTCTTTGGTGTTACTACAGGCCCCGGTTGTTCAAACGTCGGATAGCGCTATCCACTGGATAAATCACTATCCAGTGGATAGCGTAATTGATTTCCGTAATACTTATCCGCTGGAAAGTGATTTATCCGGTGGATAACGCTATCCAGCGTTTGAACAACCGGGGCCAGATGATTTATTACATCTTTAGCCCTTGAGAAATGTAAGAAAGAATGCAATATGCTTTCAATTATTCCGGTACAAGATTTTCGTCCACTGAAAATCAACACACTTGCTCGAAAATTAATCTAACCCAATATATTTTTGAAACAAACTTCTTCAGCATGATGACTTATTAAAATATTTTCATTGTGGTGAACATCTTTCATTGTTCACCACAGCAGGGCGTAAAATTAGTTAAGTTTAAATCCCACAAAGATTCTAGCCTTCAGAGCAAGAATAATGAGTAAAAGGAAAAACTGAAAATGAAAGACTGTCAACAAATTCAAACGTGAAGAATTGCAGAGAAGCGAGAAAATGAGATTATGTGTGTAGTCTACTTTGCCCACCCAAAAAACATACACAACAATAGGCAGTGCAGTTTCCTTGCAAAAAAAATAATTCCAAATCCCACAAATTAAATAAAACCTAAGGAAAATAAAAATTAAGGTTATGTCAGTTCAAGCTTACCTGTTTTCAGTGTTCCATGATGGAGAGACAGACCTGACATACATGCCCGAATCTTCCGTGGAGGAAGAAACACTAGACAGAACATGACAACATATTAGAAATATTTGTCGACATATGGAAAGTAGTGAAATAAATGAATGCTATATACATCTAGAAAATAGTAATTATAATAGGCAATTCCACAACAACACCTGCTGGGTGCAGTGAATATTAATTTTAGAAATGTGTCCATTTTAATTATTTAAGAAAATACTGGTCAGGGATTATTTGGTATATAATTCATAATTGAGCATGAATAGAATGACACAAAAGCCCATGTTGCTTTTTAAAATAATAAAATATTGACTATATGCACAAACATTCAATTGTTCTTTGTAGAAAACAAAAAATATCATGTCCTGCTACAACAGATGGAGCTTCCTTTTAAGAATTAAACCCCTAGACATTGTGTCTGGAATAAGAGCTAAATTTGCATTATTACTCAAAAGTCCCGGGCCATCTGCTTCTTCTCTACAGTTCAATTATTATAGCAAAACATGCACTTAAATGCAAACAAAAAATACATCATACCAGGACCTACAGGTGGATAATGTAAATATCACACAAGGAAAATTAAAACAAGTCCTTTACAGAAAAGTTATAAGAGTTGATAATGCTCTTGGTGCAGCAGAGAGGAAAAATAATGATTTTATACTGTGTTAATGGGAAATGTTTTCTCACTGATATTTCAAGTACACCAAACTGTTAAAATCAGTCAAATATACCTACTTATGAAAAGACTCCTGGGTTCAAACCTTTCACAGACTTTTTCTAAAACTAAAGTTGAGGATGACTGGCTGCAACTATTTTTCCCAACAATAATGAACTGGTTTTTTGTCTTCAACCAATGTTAATTGTAAATGTAGGTTTGAGGTTTGAATTGACATACATGTAATAGATAGCTAAACAAGACTGCCAGAGAGATATTCCTTGGTATTGCAAAAACGTACCTTGAATCAAACATGATGCTCAAGTCTCAATCGATTTGTTTTTTGATAGTATTGGACCATTAAAGCTATGTAAATGTCTCTCTTAAATTACAATATGTTAGTTTTGATGACAACATGAAAATAATTGCTGTTATTTTTGCATAGACTCAATATACTCCACACATTCAAAGGAGCAAGACAGCATAATATGTAATACAATAATTGATACTTGAAGACTGAGTCCACTGTTACTGTTATTTGTGACACAAACTCTTCAAACCGTATTGCAGAAAACTAAAATGCCCCTAAAGCAGCTTTTTCTACTTGCAGTCCTATCTGAATTTGCATTGGAAATATTGAGATCATTGAAGCATGCTGAACATTTCAGTGCCAATTAGGAATAGTCATATACATTGTAGCTACTTGTTCATGCTTTACTGAGGCAAGTCCCAATATCACCTTGACAAATGCAAATATCATACGGTAGTATTTGTGAGAAGGAAATTCATGATGACTGAGATAAAAAGCAATGAAAACAATTTTCTCAGTTCTCACTCCGGAGACACATGGACAATGTACTAATACAGATGTGTGACCTTTCTACCTTCCAACTGGAGAGGTGAAAGACTTTGAGGGTTAATAATTACTAACATATTATTAATGATAATTTACGTGATGTAATAACTCATATAGCACTGTTTCTAAAAAGCACCCAACAGCAAGCTTACAGTGTGTAATCCTGAATATTCTTTGAAAGCCAACAGCCATAGGATTGTTCATCAAATATTACATTCTTGGTAACCTTTAACTGTTGCATTCTTTTTTTTTGGAAAAAGAAAGAATTATCATATCCTTTTTGCAGTTTGTTCATTTTTTCTTTTTAACTGTATACTAAGATATGTATTTCATGTCCTGATCATCGACCTGTCATTTGCACTGAACATTTGGCTATAACCAATGCAGGTTTCTTTACTTTGTTGGGTAGTTTTGCCATGGGAGGAAGCAATAATAATTGTAACGGTTAAGTTAAAAACACATTTTTTAGATTTTCATCACTCAAAATAATCATCCTTTTTAAAATCTCAGCTTCGCGTTTATTCTTAAAATATTCTTAAAATTTTGCAAATTTCAGCCTCAATATTCTTATAAAATATATTCTTATAGAAAAAAGAGAGTGTATAGAAAAATACTTTGAATTATGCTTTTGGCTCATGAATGTCAGTAACAAGACTGTGTAGGAGAGGGTTTAAAACTATGGAAATGCTGTTTTCCTTGCTTGGAAACTTAAAAAATAATGTGCCTTCAATAATAGAGTAGGAAATAATAGACTCTAATATTGGTAAAAGATTCCTCTTACAAAGCCTTCACTATTCGCGTATACATGTGAATGATGAATATTTCCCAATAATCAGAATCAGAAATGGAATTGGTAAATACTTCTGACCTTGTGCAAATCAGTAAAACAGGTGCAATGAAATTCAACTTCAAGAAGGCAGACAATGAATTTCCTCTTATTTTGTTTTTGTAAACAATGTCAAACAAAACAGACAAAGGAGGAGACCCCCTACCACCACCATCACCCTCACCCTGAAAAAAGAGAGGTTGTTGAAATGTACAAACTCTCAAATATAAAAAGTCGACTGTGATACAAATAATGGTATCATTATATTATAATACACTGGCATAATAGGGCCATTTATACGAGGAAAAATAAGACGCGTCTTACAATAAATAAAATAAGTAAGACGTGTCTTAGCTAAGCCGCGTCTTATTTTTGATGATATGTGCCGTTTATACGGAAAGTTCGCATCTAGATGCGTCCTATGTAAGATGCATCTTATTTTTCCTCGTATAAATGGCCCTAATGTTTACTTCAGTCACAGCAATGTCATTATGAACCAATTAAAATACAGCTCTAATCAGACATAACTGGACAAACTACTGCTTAAAAGTTGTCAACAAACAAATCAGTAGCCTTTCTTTAGTTAAGCTGGACAAATTATTGTTGACAGCTATCAATTTTCTAAGGCCTGTTTCAAGTGTCATGCAACTGTTAGTGTCATGCTACTGCCGTGCTAAGCTGGCTCGACTGAAGCATGACACTAGCAAGACTTGCTTTCAGACGTCGAATTTAATTCAGTCGAATAGAACGGCTGTCGCCGAAAACAAAACACAAAAATAAACAAACAGTTTAGCAAACTTTTAAATGTATTCTGATGTATTTACAATTTATGAATTGAGTTTGGCACGGCAGTAGCATGATGTTTGAAACCAAGTCGAGCCACTGCTGCGTAGCACAGCAGTACCACGACTTGGTTTCAAACGCTGTGCTTTTGCCGTGCCAAAGTCAAATTTAATTCAACCAATTGAGTTCGGCACGGCGGTAACACAACGTTTGAAACTGGCCTAAGAGAGCCAATACTTGTAATAAGCTACTGGTAATTAATGACTTTTATGGCTTAATTACTGGTCTAAAAAGTGTCCGAAAAGTACATGGACTGTCATCAATTTTACATTCTTCAGTCATAATTTATTATACAAAATGGTAATCCAAAATCTTACTCACTTTGTTGAAAGATGTAAAGATTTTTTTGGTTTCTTGACTGTTGCATAAGTAGGACCATCATCTCCATGATCAGTTCTGTCTTTGTCACCAGTTAAATGAGAGGATTCTTCATCACTGGCTGAACTTTCTGGTTTATCATTCCCCACCTGTGGGATAACAATAAAAATTGTCAATAACATAATGCAAAAAAAAAGAACAATTTGCAAACATTTTCAAATCACACTGTATCTTCTCCTTCACAATAAATTATGTAGGGGCTTGAGAGGGGGAGGGTGAGGTACAAGAAGATACCAGCATATTCATGCATTACATGTACTTCTCAAACTTGTTAGCAATTCATAAAGAAAATTTTATAAAAATTAATGTTTAGTGAGTTGATAGAAATCAGATGGAAAACTGCTCATTTTACATCCTTAATTTTTCCTTCTAAAATCATTTTGTTTGAGAAGAAATATCAAGCATTCAAAACAGTGTTTCATCACTAGATGAAACACCTCGAAGTTCGTCAAAAATACTCTGCTGTGCGTCGTATTTTCAACTCTCTTCTCGGTGTTCCATCTGGTGATGAAACACTGCATCTCATGCTTGATATATTACATCCACACAGCTGGTAGTTCCATGGAAAAGGAAACCGTTCAAAAGCTTAATTCTAATGAAAAACAGGTACTTGTCCTTTATTTGATCGCATCATTTTGGCAACTCAACTGGAGATTAATTAAGCAACATATAATTCAAGTGTCCACACATATTTTCTATTGTTTTATAAATATGTTCTTTCTTTACAAGCATATCCTCTTACTTTATGATATTTTCTTGCCAACTGTAGTACAGAATCATTTGACCTAGAATAGCAAAAAGCTCTGATGATCATTACACTTCTACACCATGTACTAAAATATTTACATAACAGTTATAATTATTTTAATGGTTTTCAGGGTGACTAATAATATAATGCAAGAATAAAACAAAAATTAATAAATATTCATTTATTAATCTCATGGAGTGATTATCCCCTGCAATCTTTGATTAAAAAAATCCATCAAGATTTGTCTAAAGGATATTCATGCACAAAATTATACCATGCAATCTTTGCTGATAAGTAAAAAAAGACCCACTTACTTGGCCTCTTGAACCTTGAATATCTCAGTAGTAGCATAAGGAGACACCTAAAAATACAAAAATAACATTTCATTGTGAAGCATAATAACTAATCGGAGTGCATAATTCACATCCTGAAGAGAACTAAAAATGTGTTCATTTCACATTGTAGTTGAGCAGGGACTGCAATTTGTTGAAATAGACAGAAAAAGCATGATGTAAGTGCAGTGCTTGTTGTTTTGCTTATTTAACCAGTTACTTTTATAAAATGTTGCTGTTGCCATCACTTCCATAGTTTAGGACCCTACAGGGGGGGAGGGGGGAAGAAGGCTTTTCAGAATAATGGTACAATTTAAGGTAATACCAAGACAATGAACAAGAAATAACATTAGCAGCAAACCTCAAATAAAGTGTCAAATTCTTCTATAAACTTGCAAACGATTGCATTTGTATGGCCTTGTTCTCTTAGACCTTCTATTCCATCTTTACACCTGCAAAATAATAATACAGTGTATATTTATTCAGTTTTCAATATTTAACATCTTCTATCAAAACCACATTTAAAGAATTTCTGATAATTGTTCCACCATTACTGTCAAGTCATTCATGTCACAGACATACAGAGAGGAGGGAATACCATGCACAATGTAAGAAGGCATGGAAAATACCCACCCTATCTTTGGGGTGTTAATCAAAGCCCATCTCATGGTGGATTTTCATGCTTTAGAAGTGGTCTGTTGCTATTTTAGTTTCTTGGAACATCAATTGTTACAGCCACCAATTCATCATTTTAGTACACCAATATGGCCAACACGACAATCATCACAGTGAAAAGTCACCCTATTACAGAGATAGTTTACATAGCAGGAAAAAAAGACTTGTGCATGTTTTTGTCCATTCTAAGCTACATGTGACATGATGGTCCAATGATTCCATCAACAAGGTTATTCTCCAAGAAAAATTGTAGGGAAATCATTGCTCTGAAACAGTGGCATCCAGTCCACTCTTACAAAAGAACCCTGCCTTTCAGCCACCCCGTTTGAAGCAAGATTCTCATAGCCTTGGGTGATTGCATTGAATTAATGGGTTTCAATGGTTAGCATATTATTCACCATCATCATGCATGCTCAGGACCACAATTGAAGATCTCTTGAACAGACAACCTTGGAAAGCATAAGTGGACACAGGAAATACAGAAAAGGTGTTTTGAAAGTTAAGACTTCAAATGGAATTTTCTCTTGGTGTGCTTACTAAATGCGGTGTGTCTGTTAAGAGAGGTCAATCTATAATGAGTTTACCTGAAGAGATTGGGTCCAAATATTATGGACAATGCCATGGAGCTCATTTTGTTATTTTCTAACAAAAAAAGAATTAAACAAATCAGCACTGTTGCTCTTCACATAAGTTAATGCACAGTAATCCTACTGACAGTTTTCAATGGACGGTGGTTTCAAAAAACTACAGTGTATAATTAACTGATAGACTTCTACATGTGACAGCAGAGGACGGCCTTGTGCAACTGTTGGTCTACATTCCTAAAGCAATTTTGGTTCAGCTACAATGTATGTGAAGCCAGAATAAAATCAGAAACATAACAGTCATCTGCATATCAGAAGGACTGTCATGTGGAGAGCTTCCTTCCATAACCCTTTCCTATTGTTATCCAATCAAGTTTCTCTGTTACAAGAGGTTACTACATACCGGTAGATTACAATACATTACAAAAGCAAGAAATAGCAAATACCTAAAATCAACAAATTATGTTGGATGGTGTGAAAGTCAAGGAAGCAAATGAGACACCTGTATGCAAAATGTATGGATCAACCCTACATGCTTGAAATTTTAAGAGGCTTAAAAGAATATTAATTGTACATTGTACCTTCCTTCATAGACACCTTCACAAGGAACTTGCACAGGTATTTTAGTAACTGATAATTAGATGATGGAAGCTTCTCAAGCAGGGACTTCATCTCTGATAGAGAACAACTGTCACCTTTTTGGGCTGCCAAAAGAGCATTTACACATAAGACTCTCAGCGGGAAAAAGTCAATAACTTGTATCACAAATTAGCCTGAGAAAACAGACAACATTTCACAACGCCACCAACGGTTTCCCTGTGAAATGACGTCTGAGAAGTGATCGCAGAAATTCCCTACTGATGATGTGACACTACCCAGATCTGGGTACTGCTTCAACCAATCAGAAGCACTTAACCCAGATCTGGGTAGTGACACATCATCAGCATGGAATTTCTGCGCTCGTTTGTCAGATGTCATTTCACAGGAAACCATTGGTGGTGTCACAAAATGTCACCTGTTTTCTCAGGCTAGTATCACATCAAGGTTATGAATTTTAAGGCGAAATTAAAACTTCACAAATACTACAAATGTATAGTAGTTGAATTACCTTCTGAATGACTATGGGGAAGTCTACACTAATAATCAAGTAGTAATCCACAAAATAAACTCACCAATTGATTTTCAGATAATTCTTATAGATTGAGAAAAAAAGACATTAAATGTCACAGTACAGCGACCTTTTATTTGTCTAATGTCCAGCTACAGCTACAGCTAATCTGATAGACATACTGTAGTGGTCAATCTAGTACATGTTATATCAATCATCATTATTCTACACTATCATTAAAAAATACAATAAGTACACCTACCTTGATGAATTTTAATAAATTCTGCAGTCAGATTCTGAGGGATCAGAGGATCTGGCAATTCTCTCTGTGTGGACCCAAAAAATATACATTAAAAAGGATAGTCTTCATCTGTACGAAACAATGATTGAGCATTAACCCTAAATGAAATGGCTACTTGCCAAAGTCCAGGAAATAAATCAATCCCTTGGTTACAGCAAACTTGACCTCTATAGATCTTTCCAACATGACGTCACAGCAGCCATGCATACAATTGGTTTACAAATAATGAAAGGGCAGCCATCATGTTGGTGTCCTAAAAAAAACCTTTAGGGGATTGAACTCTTTTCTCATTTCACCTATAGGTCCCAATACTGAGATAATTCCATTACCTTGGACTCTGTTACACCAAAGCAAAAAACACACTTGTGTATGACCTGTAATTTCTTTTTTTTAGGAAGAGATGAAAACCTTTTGACATGGAACTTGGAACCTCCTGCACAGAAGGCCATGCACCAACCCACTGTACAAATCCTTCCTTCTACCGCTATAACGATCTTCTTTCTTAAGCTTACTCTTAAGCTTGTCAAAACTATATTAAAGTGAGGGTGGGAAGGGGGGTGAAAAGGCTTGTTTTTCACTTGTTTACATTTTTTCCATCTAAATCTACGCAAGATTTTTAATTCAATCCAAAAATGGCTAAAAAGGATCAGAGTCATTCATTCAATACAGTCGAACCTTTCTAATATGAAATCCGAAGGGACAGAGCAAAGTGTCTGTATTAGAGAGGTGTCTATATGAAAGAGGTCACTATGATGACGTCACTTTTATTACTCCACTTACAGTTTAAAGTGTTCCGTAGCTAAAACCAGGCTCACACTATCTTTAAACTGCATTTAAAGTTATTAACTCACAGTACAAAGACAACGTCTTTCCATAGCATACAACATTGTACTTGTCAGCTACAGACAAATTACTGTTTTAAACAAAACAAGCCGCAGTGCAATGCTGCATGTAAAAAGTGGTAATGTAAAGCACAATTCTGACAGCATCTTTTACTATTTTGTAAGTCCAGTAAACAGTACCTAGAGTACTAAAGGTAATAGAAAAGATCATTATGCTATCTGTGGTTATTGAAGCCTTCAAAATGTCGGTTATGTTCCTCTGTACACCTTTCACAAATCGTTGTTTGGTGTAGAGTGACTGGGCTTTATATCACCTTGCATAGCTCATCAGCCAGACTATAAGGGATTCAACCTGTGCAGATTCACCTGATTGGGATTCACCAGATCACCAGTGTCCGTAATAAAGAGGTTAAGTTTATATGAATTTACTCTCTGGGGCCTAGATTTAGTGTCCGTTGTCCATATTAGAGAGGGTCCGTATTATAGAGGTTTTTCTTTTAAAGAAAATATATGAGAATGCTGTCGGAACATTGGAAACTGTCCCTAATAGAGGTGTCCATATTAGAGAGGTGTCCGTGCTGAGAGGTTCGACTGTACATGTTTGGGAGTTTTTGGTTGGTTTTTCTAACGTTTCAAATGAATAGAAATTGGGGAAGATTGTTCAAATTATGAACAATTTATTGGAAAATATTGGATTTGGTGGTTGTTGAAAATTAAAATACATGTATGAAGGGAACAATTTTAGTAGACAATTACGATATCATTGCCCGCCGCAACAAAGTGCCCCTGAGCTCATTAATGAACAAAAAAACAACCAGACTGCCACCTTTAGTTGTCTATTGGCCACTTCCCATGCAAGGCTGTCACTAAGGGCCACAGGCTGGGAATTTCCCACAGAGCATGACCCCTGTCTACTTTCGTAGGGAACAAAAGGAAAATGAAACCAATTCCCAAGATCCCTGGCTGTTCAGTTCTGGCCCCCACCTACTAATTGTATATACCCGGCAACTTGAAATCTTAGTGACATCCCTGCCATGGGTGGCCATATTTTACATGTTTAGGATTGACTGCTTAGAATTAATTCTGTTCCTTTTTTACCTGCACATTCCAAAAAAGTTTATTACCTTGAAAAAGTTTATCACCTTTTTAAATTGTATATTTTTGTATGTAACCAAACAAAAGTTGTTGTTTACAGGCTTACCAAGAAAAGTTTAAGTAGACCAGCTACAGCCATGACATCCCCAACTTGTTCCAAGTCAGCTTCACCATCTAGATTTGAGGCATTTATAAAACAGTTTCAGAACCACTGTGACACATCTTTCTGTCCAGCATATTCTCTTGATTACAACAAAAACTCAGTAAACAGGAGCAAAAAATTGCCTTCTGAAATCACTATGTAGCATTTCATGATAAACTGAGCTCAGCATCAACAGAGCCAAAACAATAATATTGTGGAATTGCACACAAAGTCATTGTTCGCATTCTATTGATGAACAATTGCAACATCCAGATATTTCCAGTAACAAAAATAAATTTGCTCTCTGTCCCCCTCAAATTATCATGACTACAGTTTTGTTTTTGAAGGAATGATTCAATAAAAATATCTAAACCACGATACAGTTTAAGGCAAACTTGACAACCAATAATTTTTCAACAGTTTCACTTAGGGAGCTCCAGGGCCCTCTCTGCTGTAAAGAGACCTGGAAGAACCAACATGAACAAAGTCATTTTGGCACTCAACAGCCATAAAGGAAACTTTTGAACAAAAGGCAAATAAATCATTTATCTTAACATCAACATCAATCACCAGTTCCTTTATATTTAAAGTTATTTCGGCCCGGTATATGCAGTTGTAGTACATAAAAAAAACATCTTCAAAAATGCAGTTACAGTACATTTTCTTGATCAGGGCTGTCAGTAAGGGCTGGGGACCAGGGATTTCCACCAGCTACCATGTGCATGATCCCCGGCTACTTTCACAGGAAACAAAATGAAAGTAGAAATAACAGAGCTTCCAAGCTGATCAATTTCCTGCCTACTTACTGCAGATGAAAGGAGAAATCTTGGTGACAGCCCTGATTGATCAAAATTCAAATGGTAGGCATTAAACTTTAAGATCATTAAATAACTTTACCCTTATCAAATGTTGCCTTAAGAGATTCAACCACTTTGTAGTTACCACTTATGCGAAATATTCCTTCATGGCTCAAGCCTAAAAAAAGCAAACAATTGTCATTCACTGCAAGATTCAGCTTATAATGACCAGATATCATTGAAGTAGTCAGTCAAGTCAATTATTGTTTACCTAGTACGGGTGCAGCAGATAGGGCATTTTTTTCCATTGTTTGGCCATCCAGAGAAAGTTGCTCTTAATCAAGAATATTCATAAACAGACTGGGTGCAAGAGAAATAACAGGGGTGGGGGAGGGGAGGGGAGGGGTAGCATCTTTCTAAAAATATATGCAAATAAATACACTGAATCTTATTTCTTGAAACTTTTGCCATCTTTCTGTACATTGACGTGTAATTGTTACAGAAATGGTATGCATCCAAATAGAACTAATTAAGCTTCGTTCTGTACCCTTCCTGGGCAGAGGTGTTAATGTAAATATTTTGAGGTTACAATGAAACCTACAGCTTTAAGTAGACGCCTCTGGGTCCCGCACAAATCTCTTTTAAACACAGTTTGTTTCACTGGTGTTCCTATTTGCATAATATAAAGTGCCCACTTAAAAGGGGACCCAGTTATCACAGGTCTCACTGTATCTCTAACTGCTTTTGTCTGGAGTTATAAACATGTACAATATCTGTCAAGTTTTCAATCTACGCAATAGATTTAATTCAATTACACACAATGCCAGGATCAACAATATTACAGTATACCTTAACAATTGTCATAAAAGTTGGAATCTCAAATTTATTGTTATTTTCTCCTACTTCCCCTTACTCTAATTCCCAATTCTAGAAGTTAATTACAAAATGATGTTTTACCACTGAAACTTATTTCCAAAGACAAATTGTGTAACTAACCATGCTTTTCAAGGAATTCTACAATGGTTGTGACAACTGGCGGCACTTCGCATCCATCAGACTTTCTTAGTAAGTCATCAATAGAAACTCCAAATGTCTTGTTGCCCACCACAGTCACACCTTCAACAATAACAAGTAACAGTATAGTTTAAATTTAAATATAGAAAAAATTCAGTGATCTTTAGTTCCCCAGTGTGTCGTTAAGCTGTGAATGAGAGATGATCATCTTTTATGTAATTTGCCTTCTTGTTAGTTCCCTTTTGCTTCAGTAAAATTTATTTCTTCACCCAACACCACTTGAGTATCACTAAAGACACTTTGAGCAACTACTCTTGTAATCCAGTTCCACCCACTTTAAATGGCAATAAAATTAATTTTACAGTACTTAAGACCAGATTTCCTTCCCAAAATACTGCAGTAATTTGAAATTGAAGAGGAGAAAGCTTTAAGTGAATTCTGAAAAGCTCTTGTCCCAAACTGTGTCACACTTGTTTGTGAAACAAAAGGAATGTCTGACATAAGTTCAAAAGTCCCTTACTACGTAACACGTAGCTTAGGGCCTTTTTCAACGCACCCTTTCAGCTTCTAACGATGGTATATGCAAGTAACCTTGTGAAGTGCAGGGAAAGTGTATGGTGTACTTTATACCCATTTGTAATGGTGGGTTGAGAAATGCACCACAGTAACAAAAATCATCACCTATCATGACATTTCTATCTTTAACTTGGTGACTATTAACAGATATAACAAGCAGTAAGCTAGAGAGGACTGGAGAGAAGACTGCACTCAAGCAGCGATCAAATTAAAGTTCAACTGTTTTGGTTACCAAGGTGAGTAGAAAATAATTTCCACAACCAAAATATTGCATTGAACTTGCCGATTTGGTGACCTGTGTTTGGTGATAACAAGCCAAAGCATAGTGTTTTATCATTCTACAATGTAGTGTTCACCACCATTTAATTTTGGGTAAAATAATCATTTACTGTCTGTTTTGCTTATTGTTAGCATTTTCTAATTTGGTTAAAAGTAATTTAACTAACACCACGAGCTTAGCAGTCAAGCGGTCCACAAGCTTAGCGGTCAAGCGGTTCATAAGCTTAGCGGTCAAGCGGTTCACAAGCATAGCGGTCAAGCGGTTCACAAGCTTAGCAGTTAAGCGGTCCACAAGTTTAGTGGTCCACAAGTTAAGCAGTCAAGCGGTCCACAAGCTTAGCGGTCAAGCGGCCCACGAGCGTAGCGGGCATCCAGTGGTCAATCCCATAAGTGCAGGCTCACATGGTTTGTGGTAGCTTTGTACACAGCTAGGATCTGCGAGTTCTTCGTCGAGCGTTTGTGCAGTGGTCTGTGGAGCGGTTCATTTAGCGTCTTCCCCCCCTCCCATCCCTATTTGTCTTCCTTCCACTGTTTCATCAGTGTGACGGGTGCCTGGAATGGGGGCTCATGGCTGGGTTGCGGGGATCTGCCAACCATGGGGGCAGTTTTCTATCTAGGGGCTGGCTGGCCACAGTGGAAGCCCCTGGGTATCCCAGGCACCCACCTTCCACTTAAGCGAGGCATTTGGTTAACCCAGGATTGTTGGGGTTTGAGATGTCACATGTACCTCCAGATTCAATTGTGATACAGTTGGGCAGCCATTTTTTTATTATTTCAAACCTCTCATGTAAAGTTACTTTTCTTTCCAGCAATCAACATTAAATTTTTATTCTTAGAGAACACTATTTTTATGATTTTAGGTTGACAATAGCAAACTCTGAAAAAAGTTGACCTCGGAGTACTGTCAAGTAGAAAAGCCAAGGAGTTATAAATCACATTACTCGGTAGCCAATACTATAAAACACAATTATATAGACCTCTATAGGATAACAGGAAAATAGCCAACACATATGAAGTGCCTTATACAGGGATCCACACAGCACTGTGTCAAAAAAGACCTCATAAAATTAATAATAACACATGTGAATATGACAGCGAAATAATAATAAATTATGAAAACCTAATTCCTTCTCAGTTCATTTACAGTTCAAACATAATGATATGTATGTGCATACAGTATGAATTAATTAACATAGCCATACCCACATTACAAAGCACCTTTAATTCTTGATCTACAGTGAATGACCTTTCCCAGCAATGGCATTGGTCTGTTCATTCATTTAGGTCATGAGCAGAGTTTTGGAGAGTGATACCAAAAGCAATCATTCACAACAGATGTAGCTACAAATTGCTTAAATTCTTCCCAGCGTTAAAATCTGCTCTTTACTTAATAATATTATGCATTACGCTGTAGCTAAATATGGAATAGGAATATCTCACCATCACTCGGGTTTCTTCTCTTCAAAAGAGGAGAGCTAATTTTCTTTTTCATTTTTGCCATTCTTGATTCTGTAGTCTGGGGTACAGAGAGCTGATCCGAACCCTTAAGAAAACAAATCATTTCAAATAACCTTATATCAAGTGTGTGCATACTACACCAAGATTATTAGTCCATAATAATTAATTATTCAGCCAAGCAGGTGACATTTTGTTAACTAAAATAACACCTACAGTGTAACTTTGTAAATTAATAAGGGGTAATTTAGATGATGGCAATATATTTTCTGACATCACAGTCTGAAACGAAACTTTGATTGCAAGGGTTTACAAGTAGCTAAAATAAACAAGATCAGAGTTATGAATTATTCAACGACCCTGTTATGTCTATTCACAGAAGATGTGGATCAATAATCAGCCATCAATAAATTTCTTTTGAAAGTTAAAGAACTTGACCTTTAACTCTCAAGAGTGCCAAATATCAAAATTCAAGTGAGACGCCATTCTTTGTTGTAAAATATTGAAAAGCAGAATAGTAGTACTGTGCTATACAAATTTCACCCACAAATTCTGATACTAGATTTACATTACATGTTGCCAAAACTAAATCTGGAAGTTCATGAATGGCTTTATGTCAGTTCTATACTTTTATGGCAGTCATTCTTTAGCTACAGTTTGTTCTCGATGAATCATGGATTTTTAATTCGTATTTACAGTACCAAGACAAATGTCCCCAGGAAAAAAGTTGAAAGTCTCAGTCTTTGCGTGCCCCCAAAGAGCAACTTCAATTTCACTTAAATTTTTGTCAAAGTCAAAGTTTGGGGTGATTCAGAACACTTGCACTTTTTTGGTCTCTCAACCATTTACACCAACTAAAATGCCACAATTTGAAAAGAATTTTACCTTTTAACAGGCCTGGGATTCAAATGTGTGTTGTATTAGTGTTTGCTTGAAAATACCCTCTATCAGCACTTTTTAATGCACCAATAAATGCTACCCTGGAAGCAAAGGTTTCTTGTTGGCATGGCTTTTAGTATTTACAAAGTCAATTTATTGAAGGCTTGTCAGTCGCATAGTGTGTTTGTTTATGTCTCGAAAGATGGTGCAGACAAACAGAGTATGGGACTGACAAGCCACACGCACAACTTAATAACTGCTTAAAGCATGCCAAAAAGAAGCCTCTCCTCGGAAGGTAATACATGCCGGAGATCAGAACTGAATGAATATTGCCCCTCCACAGATGTCCTCGGAGATGTGTCATTCAGACACATTCCACAAATGACAACGTCTTGTACATAATACAGAGTATACCATATTGATCACTGAATTTACTGATAACATAAACTCCATCTTTCTCTTAAGTCGTCAGTATTTATCGGCTGAACACCACTTCAAGACGGACAATTTCATATAAAAAGTTGGTTTATTCACAAGCATACCAATGTTTCTTTGCCATATTTGAGACCTTTTTAGTCACTTCCTGTATTATATTGTAGACAGAGACATTTTCTTTTGTGTTCAACTCATTTTTCTCGAGTCTTAAACTCTAATAGAAAAATTCACCCACAGATCAGCCTATATAAATAACTGGTCTTAAAGTACAAAGGCATTTTAGAAGAGAACACTAAACAAAACAATTGGACATGCTTATCGTTTGAGGATGTAATATTTCAACAGAATTTTCTTGTTATTGTGTGAAAAGAATCGGCTTATTTAATAATTAACCACGAAAGAATTACTGTTAAACTGGGTAGATTATGCAGTTAGACCTAATCCCTAGTACCTAGCCGGCAACTACAGTATAATAATTTATTTGACTACAGTAATGTAAGCATAAGCTAAGTTTCTGAGCAGAGGTTAAAAAAACTTATCATGAGCTTACATTAAGCTATTGATCATACCTGCTGGTTTTTCACGGAAACACTTGATTCCGAGGCGCATATTAGCATTGGACGAATTGCCTGAGTAAGACCAGTTTCCAAACTGTGTTGTCGATTAACACCACTGTCTCTCTGACTCATAGATCCGACCTATCAACCTTACATATAGAGTTTCACTTTGTCCTTGTAAAATAAACGGAAAAGAAATCGACCAAACAACTGCAATCATGAACGTTGAAAGCCACTTCGCGAAAAATTCTTCATACTTAATAATCAACTAAGGTGCCAGTTTTCATGATGGACAGGACTTTTCATATGTGTTAAATCCAGGTGGATGCTTATGATACGAACCCATTGCATGTTTCTCCAGAACTATTTGAAACTGGCATGATCCTTGAACGAAAAGCCCGGGATTGTTGTGATGAAAGCTGATGTTTTGTGATCAGCCTAAAAAAATAATGGTAATTCGGTAAATTAAAAACAAGAAGCTCGCTTTCTGTGTTGGTAAACAACACAACGCCTTCGGCAATTCCATGGCAAACAAAACCAGCAAGGTATTCAGCATGCGAGACATGATTTCCTTCTTACAATCTTGACTGTTTATGGCAACAGCGCCTCAATCGGCGTGACAAAAAATAACGAATAGTAAATTACTCAGACAAATTGTTATGATCTAAGGCACAATATTCGTTCATAATATACCTTGTTGAAAAAGCTTCTTAATGGCTACAGCGTTAGGAAAGTCAATAATGAATAGCAATGAACATTTCCTAAAAAAAACTCAACCTTATCACAGATTTAGCAGCTACCTGTTCAATCCGAGGTTCGCCTGACTCACGCTAACGAAATAAAACCTTCACTCCCAGTTTTGTTCACTTCAGTGTACCTTCTCTTAT